CCGAGCCGTTGAATGACCACTGCAGCCCCGTCGCCGTTGCTGCGGCCAGCATCGGGATGCCGTTCACATCGATAGACGCCACACCCGGGTCCGTCGTCGCCACGGTGTAGCGCGACACCGAGTAGCCCAGACCCAAGAGTTCGACACCGATGCACGCCTCGATGTCGGCCATCGACGGGTGCACGGCATCCGACGCAAACGCCGAACGCTCGATCACCACTGGGAGCAGCTCAATCGTGCTCATGCTCGGTTGCCACGTCACGACCACCGTGTCGACGGCTTCAGCGACCACGGTCGGTACGGTGCTGCTTGAAGTGACGGCCGCGACCACACCGAGACCACTTGGTACGTGCTCGCGCCGGCAAATCCCGTGATGGCTTGCACCTCAATCTCGACAGGCGGACTCTGCAGCAGCGCCTTCTCCGGCCCGGACATCGACACATGCCATGCAATGTAGTACGTCAGGTCGTACGCACACCCGAAGCTCGTCGATTTCGGTATCGCTACGACGCCATTGGCTCGGACCGCTTGCACCCGTTGCACGCATCGGTCGGCATGCGAAGCAGCAACTTGAAGTCGTCGATGGCTTGGTCAAACCAATACGACACTTGCGCCGACACGTTGAGATGCGCGAGGCCGCCGGCAACAATTGACGAGTTGGCCGTGACGAGAGGGGCAACTCGGCCGTCGGCCACACCTGCACTTCGTACAGTACGCTGTAGACGACCGGCGGTGCACCGAACTCGGGACTGCCATAGTACCCGCGCAAGACGAACGAAACAGGCCATGGAAGTGAGCCACCGGCACCACACCCGCGCGCACGTCGTCGGCAAAGTCCGTGAACACAAACGAACCGCGGCTCTCGTTGAGCGACAGCTCCGTGATGCCGTTGCCACGGCTCACTGTGAACACCGACGCAGTGGCATGTGCATCCGACGCCAGAATCTCGAAGCCCAGGTTCACATAGTCGTTCATCGACGCGTTGACCTGCGACCGGATGTCGTCCAAGCTGACGTCCACTGCCACGCCATTAAACACCTCCAGGCGGCGCGTCACCGCTGCCTCGTACACGATGGCGGGGTTCGGCAGCCACACGAACGACACAGGACTCGCAATTTCGGCTCGCGCCGCCCCGTCCGTACTTGTCGCCACGACGTCAAACCACGCCAGACCAAAGAAACCGACCGGCATCGCGATACTCGTCGCCACGACCACCGAGCTGCCAGTCACATTGGCCATGTCACTGATGGCGTATACACAGTCGCCCGCCGAGGTCCACGTCAGAGGCACCGGTGCACCGTTCGCCGTCACATTGGCGTTGCTGTCACAACCGTGCGGACGCAGCTCCATGCGCACCGCCTCTGACGCGTCGTCGCTCGACGCGCTGGCCCAAATGGACGCCGACTTGCCGTAGTCGATCGTCGTGTTCATCGGCGCAAGCGACAGTTGCGGCACGGTGGCAACGCTGATGATGTCGACCTGGTGCGGTTGCCGGTAAAGCATCGGCCGATGGCCCAAGATCGGACTCGCAAATGCCACGTCCACGTAAAACTCGATCTCGCCGTTGTAATTCTGGACGGCACGACACCAATAACGCCCGACCAGTGTCCGTCAAACTGCTTGGTGAAGGCTCCCATCGCACTCGTGTTGTCGCACGGACCACAGATGCCTTGGATCCACACGCCATTGGTCACGACCTCGAGTAGCGTCAAGGCGTAATCGGCCGGGAGCTGGATCGGACTCGTGATGGCGCTGGTAGCCAAGAACACCGCTTCGTCCTCGAATATCTCCAGGTGGGTGGTCGGGAGCAAGATCTCCATGGGTGCCGTGTTGGGAAGCCATTGCAACGCCGTTGTCGTCACCGTCGCCGACGATGCACTATGGGTTGTCGACGTTGCCGTCACTTCGACGGTCGTCCACCCAAAGAAGCCGTCCGCAACCGTCACGTTCACTTGCATCGAGCCCGACATGACGCCGCCCAGTCCCGACCAAAGCTCGTACAAGCATACGTCCGTCACGGTGTCGGTGTCGGCGTCGTCATGGGTGTCGGCATCGATCATGACCGGTTGCATGTCGCCGCCGCTCGTGACCACGACCGAAGCAACGCCCGAGCAGTTCCATACGCGCATACGCACGGCCAGTGATTCGGATGCGCTGACGCCGGTCGCCGTCACGTTCAACACGGCAGGCGTCGCGTATGCCACCGACCGGTTGGAGACGGCTACTGCCAACACTGGTGGTTCAGTGACGATGATAATGTCCAGTGTCAACTTGCGCTGATACAGTTGGGTGGCATTGGTGATGGACGATGTCGTCATCATCTGCACCGTCAACTCGACGGGTACATCGGTGGAGCGACTTGGTAGCATACCGAACCACGTCGAGGTCGTCGATAGGACGTATGCTGGCGCCCGTACGGCGAGCGCGGGAAAGCCATCGTTAACCGAGCAATTGGTGCAGACTGTCTGCAGCTGCTGGTTGGTGACGACGCGTGCGGCTGTCACCGAGTACGTGTCGTCGGGCAACGCAAATATGTTTTCAATGCGCTCCGTGTCGAACATCAGAGCCTCGTCGCTGAAGACCGAGAGGACCGAGCTCGGGAGCTCAATTATGTCGATAGTGGCGGCGCGGGCCACGAGGGCGGCGCCGAGCAGCAGGAGCGCTTGCACGAAGCCCATACCACGTCGCCTTGGAGGCATCGTTCCGAATCTTGTAGCTGCACAAAAATGCGTGGGATATATGGAACATCAAAAAGTCGAACATCGAAGGATATGACCAAAGATAGATACATACCCTGTCGCCTGCGTAGAGAAGGCATGCCTTGGGCAGAAGGCTGCGTCGTGTCAGCTTGGATCTTTGTCGCTAGCGCGCCCACTGCGTTCTCGTCGCGTTCTGCCGCGCTGTGCTCTGCAATGACGTGGCGCCAAGTGCATCTTGTGTTTGCTGGCCAATCAAAACGTGCCATTCATAAATTTTATGGGTGGCAGGTTTTGATTGGCCAGCGAATATGTTGACAGTGTTAAGCCAAGCACTTTGATCTTATAAGCAGCTGATCGCATGCCATTTTAGACTTGATAAGCGAACATCCGACGCTATCTAGAAATGCCCTGCCTTATAGTGGCGTGCAGAACGTCCACCAAGGCGATGATTAACGAGCGTTAGGCTACAGACAATATGTGTATGCGTGGCGGAGGCTGGAAGCATCTACGAGCCAAAAGCTGCGTCGCTCTCTTCAATGCGACGGAACTCGTAGGCCCCACGACCGTCAAACTAGCATCGTACGTCAGCTCCACGCGCAAATATATATGCCGTACCTTGAGCACGTAGTCGTGGTAGCTCCAGAGCGACTTGCGGTGCGAGACCGTGAAGAGCGTGATGCCTTGGCTCTTGCAGTAATCGTACATGAGACCCTCGACGTCGACGCTGACGGCCGACGTGCACTCGTCCAAAATCGCAAACTGCGGCGCGTGGTAAAAGAGACGGGCCATGGCCACGCGCTGCTTCTCGCCGCCGCTAAGGACGTCCGACCAATCCTTGACGACGCCCCACGGATCCTCTTGGTCTAGACCAATCATACAAACATGAGAACGCACGAAATACGACAGTCGCTACCGTCGTCGCGCGTGACGAGATACTCGAGCTGCACCAGCTTGAGAAGCTCGAGCAAGTCGTCGTCCGACTTCTTGGCCGCCTCCATGCCTTCGAGCGTGTCCGGGTAAATGATCTGGTCACGGAGACTCCCTACTCGCAACGTCTAGCTAGCATCGCACAAAAGGACGCGACGTACCGAGCGTCAAGTACGGGCGCTGGGGAATGTAAAACAAGTTGTTGCGACTCGGCTTGGTCAACTACATGATAATGAATCCATCCATCATACATCAATCCATCGACACGAGAACGCTTACCTTGCCACCAAACATGGGCCAGAGCTCGCCGAGGATGCGGAAGAGCGAGCTCTTGCCGCAGCCATTCGGGCCGCACACGACCACGTTCATGCCCGACGTCACCTACACCGATCGTCGCCATCGTCCAACGCCGTGCAATGTACCTTGAACGAAAGCGACCGGACGAGGACGTCGCCGTTGGGTGTCACGAGCGGCACTTTCTACATCAACGCGCTCCCACCCATGCCCAATGACACGCGGGCGTACCTCGAATTCGATGACGTGATCGGCGTACTCGAGGGTGCCGCTGTTGGGCACGAGCGCCATGGCATCGGCGTCGTCGGGAGACGGCGTCACCATCGTGCGCGTGTACTTGCCGTTATGGAGGTCGTCGAGCACGGAAATCATGACGGCGACGCGGCACGTAAAGCCGGCGAGGCGCGTGAGCTCGCGGCCCGAGAGCACGAGCCGCCCCATGGCCTCCGAGAGCTTCATGAGCATTTTGCCCGACCGAAAGTAGTCTTGCATGCGGTCGGCGTGGGACGAGTTGAGATGGCGTGCGTCGTTCAAGTCGAGGAACGGGCGCGAGACGAGCACAAACCCCAGCACCGTGGCAAAGTACTAGTAAAATACATGAGTAAGTATCGAGACGAGTACAAAGCATCACCTTGGCAATGACGCTGTCAATGACGCTCATCGAGAAGCGGAACTGCTGCGACTGACGAATGAGCGACACCAGCGCGTCAAACGACGCCTGCAAAATCGACGCCTCGCGTTTGTTGCCATTGTAAAAGGCAATTTCTAGGCAACCATGCGCCGAGATTTAGACATGGAAAAAAGGAAATGTGTACCTTCGCCATGGGTGATGAGGCGCGCGTTAATGTAGCGGTACGCGCCTTCGAGCCGCTGCTCGGCGATGGTAAAGCGGCCCGTGGGTTGGCGGAGCCACGTGAGAAACATGCCCGAGCCGACCAAGTAGCTCAGCATCGTCATAGGGCCTAGAACAATCATATATCCTCGGATACAACCTCCACAAGCATTGCTCGTACCCGCAAGACCAATGGTTCCCGTGAGCTTGACGGCGTAAATGCCAATGTCAAGGATCGGCTTGGTCACGTTCGAGTAGAGGTCCGCGACCGACGTGGCAAAGCGCTCGACGTCGACCTAGATAGGACATGGCCTCACGGCGCAAGATTGAGAGAGATGGAGTACCGTCAGCAGCTGGTCCGGGTTGGAGATGCGCGCGTCGAGGTTCGACACCTTGTAGTACGTGTATTCGTGGAGGTACTTGGTGTACAGAAAGGTCGAGAGGCGCGTGCGGAACCGAAGGCTCAGCTCCGTGTGGCCATACTTGAGGAGGCAGTTGACGCACGACACGGGCAACATGATGAGGAAGAAGCGCGACAAGTGATGCACAAAGTCCTTGGACGATCGCCCAATGCTAGATACGTCATGAGCGCAAGCATGCACCTTGGTGGTCGTACATGGCGCGCTCAATGGACGTGATGATCTGGAGGATCGTAATGTCAAACGACGTGCGCATCGCAAGGAGCGCCGCAACGCCAATGGCATAGGCAACTTCGGGCGTCCAAAGACCCGGGATGATGATGCGGAAGAGGCGCATGAAGCGATGGAGAAACTCCTACATAGCGCGTGAGCGGCGAGACGCGGCGAAGCGACGCTCGCAGACCTTGTTGATCGCGACCTTCTTCTCCTGGCCCTTGGACTTTTGCGGCGAGAACTGCGAGTTGAGCTCGCACGCAGCCTTGGCATCCTTCTGGCCCTTCTCACGGATCACGAGCGCAAGCCCAATGAAGGTCAGCGCGGACGCGCCCGCGAGCTTGCTCTGGACGCCCATGGTCGATCGGCCAATTCGTCAAAAGAACTGTGGCAAGGCGCCGGCTGGGTGGCAAATGCCGGAAATAGCCTGCTATTGGTGGCGCAGACGCCACAAATACCACATTCAAGCAAATCTCGTGCCATCGCAGGTGTTTGCTCGACAGGCTTCGGTGCACACATCGACGGCGGGTTGAATACGAAACAAATGGAATTAGCTAACTTGAAGCTCGGCCGATCCGATGATGACCCGATGGCGAAAATGCAATGACGCGAACGGGTCGTACGACGACTAGAATAGTATGGCGCCTTGACCAGTATCGATCTCCTCGGTCGTTTTGGTACTTCATTCTGAGGCTGCTGACTCCTAGTCGAGTCTTGGTAGAGCACCGGTTGTATTGTACGATCCAGGTCGGAAGAGCGACACCGATGTGATGTTCAGTTTGCCCTTTGCGTGCAGCGACAGCACCCAGCGTGGTGTAGCGATCCAATGGAGGGACATCCAGCGACGTCATCGGTATGTTGGGCGCTTACAAAAATGCGAAACGCAAATGGATGTACATTTGACTGCGGTGCGTCGATTCTAGTACGCTGAGGGGAAAGCGTTGGTGAGCGTCACGAGGCAGAAAATGACCGCCGTCCCGAGGAGCGCGCCCATTTGTGTTGTAAAGCCAGACCACTGGTACGCGAGCTTGTGGTTCACGTCCACATCTACTCGATCGACACGTGGTTTCCTAATGTCCTCACACGCCATTTTGTGTTACCTTTGAGCACTTGGTACAAACTCGTTTGAGTAAACGCCGAGAGCGACGTGTACAAGCAGTTGGCAATCACAACTACACCACCGGGTCATGAATACACACACTTGTCGTAGGGCGCTAAAGGAGCGATGACCTACCCATGACACCGCCGGCCGGCGCGTCGCACCACAGCGGCGCCTTGTACGATGCCCAAACCGTGAGCCAGAGCTATACAAAAGATGGCGATCAGATCAATCACATGTCAACGCAGGAGACGAGCGTACCGCAAAGAAGAGGGCGGCGGCCGTAAACACTTCGACTTTTTTGATGCGGTAAAAACCCGCAATGAAGCGTGCGGTTGGATCACAGAGCATGCCCAAGACCGACGTCCACTTCATCACCACCGGCGAGTGCTAACACGAATGCATGAGACGACTGGCATCCAAGCCGCAAGGGTCACCTTGTACTTGCCGCCGAGGATCGGCAGCACGGACGGAATCACCGCAAAGCTAAAGATGGCCAGCAACCATTGGCACAGAAGCGTCTACACGGGTGGAGCCATGTTATTAGCGCCACGCAACCACCAATCGTCGTGGCATTCGTACGCGCCAGATCGCCTTGAGAACGGTCGAGTGGGCCATGTGCTAACATGTCAAAGAAGGCATTGGGCCAGAGGAACGAGACACGACGATGTACCGGTTGCTGGAGCAGCAGTTCCTGATCGGCAAAGATCTCGACCGACGTTGTCTGGCGCCGAAGGTACGCAAAGCAAGCAAATGAAATGAGGAAAATAAAAGCTAGCACACACCGAGAACGTGAGGATAATAATTCGCAACACAAGAAGGTTCGTACCGCCACAAAGAAAGGCGACACCGACAGAAAACGTCATTGGGTCACTCCCAACATCCTGGATGATGGCCAAGACGCCCGCAATCACAGCACCGAGGCTTTCGCCGGTTGCGAGGGCGCTGCGATCGAAGCATGACAGACTGCTACGCCTCATCGGATCACTACCTCGTAAACATGACGGGATACGTGGCCGCAAACGGGTAAAAGACCACCGTCGATGTGGCACTCACGGCGCCGCCGCAGAAAATGAGGGCAAAGAGAGCTGCACATCGTTGTTTAGGCTGCCTGTGTCGACGAGGCGACGTACCAGTACTGTGCAAATGACCGCCAATGACCGTCTTGGTGTCCCAGAAGATAGACAGCAGTACTAAACACACAAATAAATGCATGTCAACGTCGCCAGCGCAAAGCACATACTGCAAGCCACCATGCCGAGGACAAGAAGGCCCCAAATCATGGTCGGAATCGAAATCAACTGCTGGCGGCTGTTGAAGAGCATGTAGAGCAGCGGGAAGATATTGGCGGATTGCAGCGCCACAATCTAAACGCCATCGATCGCACATGCAGTCGACAACTGCACGCAGTTTTACCACATAGGCACCGATCGAGTAGCCTTCGGGCGTTTTCTAGTCGATATCTCGTGTATATAAGTTCAAAGGCGGGCGAAAAGTACCTGCATGAGTGCGGCAAACTCGGCAAAGACAACTATCCAGGCGTGCATTATTGGATCGATACGAGCATGTAGAAAGAAGGTGCATACAGTCGGAGATGACCCAGGACCCGAGGCCAAAGCCGATAAAGGCCAAGTACGTGTGACGCGTCGAGTGCACCTTGAGCTCCGACATGGCAGGTTTGGAATTGAACGTCAACTCGCACACGTCCAGCCGCGCACGTTTTTAGCCCGCACCCGGAAAAATACGCCACCAAATTGTGTCGCACTATACTATGCATTGATCTTATTGAGCTTGGTATTTGTATTGATATCTAAAAATAAGAAATATGGCGTGAAAATACGCCGACCCATTGCTGCGTTGGTAACGTAAACAGCGCGATATGATTGGCGGTTTGCCGTCGATTTCTGAAAGCCCGCGGACTTTCCTTCCTATGGGTCATTGGGTCATGATGGTGAGCAGGATCACCCACGAAGTCGTCGCGCGGACTGGATTCGATGAAGGACGCAAGATGAATGTGCGTGGTGGGCTTCGCGATACTTCGTGCTATACTTGGTAGAAAGTAAACGAAGACTGATCGACCGTGACGTTATTCGCAAGTCCGACGAAGTGCCAAATACCAACATTGCTGACAAATTCCAATTTTGACCAATCAAATATTGAAATGAATCAAAGATTCTGTGCATTGGCTAGAATATCGACGCAAAACAGCGAATCAAAACACGCTAACGTGTTTTAGACCGTCTGATTGACCAAAAGTCGGAAGCATCGTCATTCCAAGCTCATCAATCAGTCGATTTGAGAAGATCGATGGCTCCACCACGTCCTGTGGTACTGTAGCTGGACCAACGATACAGGTCGTCATGGCGCTGATTTGTGGTCGAGGGCACCCTTGCCTCTAATTATGTATCGACAAGAGGTGGTTTATAGATTAGTGAAGAAGGATGTTCCAACGTGTCACTGGAACATTTTGTCGTTGTGTCGCAACCACGATGGAAGTTGCTTCTGCAATTACGTTCGCTACTGTTCACGCCATCGAAAAGACATTAGTCAGCGCGACGAGGCCAAACGTGACGATGGTGCCCAAGAGCGCGCCCATTTGCGTCACAAATCCCGACCACTGGTACGCTGCCTTGACGTTCTCGACGTCCATTTCTACACATGTATATGGAGCGACTCGCAATACACTCGATGATAGACCTTGGAGGACTTGGTACAAACACGTTTGGGTGTACCCTGCCAACGACATGTACGAGCAATGCAAGAGAACCACTATGGCGCATTTGAGGTGAGGCCGTCGCAGAAAGAGGTTGTACCAACGATGCCGCCATTCGGAGAACGACTCCAGAGCGGTACGCGGGCGGATGCTTGGGTGGCCATGCAGAGCTACCGCGCACATGTTGTCCTTTCGCTCGGCGTATTCAGCTATGGATACGTACGCCTGCAACCAGCGCCAGTAGTGTGAAAATGCTGACGCGACGCGTATGGTAAAACCTACAAACACAGGATTCAGTGGGCATCGCGCCGAAGCCTTTGCGTACGTTGTGAGGAATCGGGCGAGGGGGTCACAGAGCATGCCGAGGACGGACGCCCATTTTAGCACGGTACCGCTATGCTACACATCAACGCTCCTTTATCAACTGCAAAACGACGCCCAATGTATGGTACCATGTACTTGGAGCCAAGGATCGGCAGCACAGAGGGAACGACAGCGAAGCTAAAGCATGCCAGAGCAAATTGACACGCGAGGGGCTACAGATATGCGTGCCAAGGTCAGACCATGTTCACGTTCAACTTTGGATCACCTGGCCAATGACGCGAACGACGTGCCAGTCTTCTTGACACTAATCCATCAAAACACACTCCAAATGGGCTCCCTTGTCGGTACACATACCGTAAACGTTTGTGTCGGATCCAAGAGCCACGCACGTTCGTTGGAAAGCTGCGTCTCGGGACGCCCGTACGTTCGCAGGTAGCTAAAGGCCACCATCGACACCAAAAACACCACCGCTACATAAACATCTCATCATCCTACGCCATGGTGAGCGGTCATAGTACCTGCGCACGCAAAGTAGGTGCTGATCGAAAAGTGCATCTCGGGACTGCCCACGTCTTGCAGGAGCGCGAGAACGCCCGCGACAACGGCACCGAGGCTCTCGCCCGTCGCCAACGCACTAATTGCAACGTTTGCAACTACGTGGCCCCGCCGATCGAGACGCACCTTGTCGAGATGGCGGGGTACATGGACACAAAGGGGTAAAAGACGACGCTGGAGGTGGCGCTGACAATGCCGCCGCAAAACACGAAAAAGAGCAGCGCTACATCGCTCGCCAACGTAAAGACGAGTTGCCACTTGAGCGCCGAACGCACCCGAACTACGGGGCTCTCCAAAGACGCTTGATGTCATGTGCCACGTCGTCGCCAAGAGCACTACGCGCGTGTCCCATCCTTGCAAAAGAATGAGGACAGAGAACGTACGACATGCCATCACGCCAAATGCAAGCAGCCACCAAATCATGGTTGGGATCGAGACGCGCTGCTGCGAGCTGTTGAAGAGCATGTAGAGCATCGGAAAGATATTGGCCGATTGAAGCGCGGCAATCTCGTGGGAACGATGAGCGCGATACGGTCGTCGTCGCAAGACAAAGTTACCACGTAGACGCCAATCGCGGGTCCTTCTGGCGTGTGCTACGACGCGCGCTGAGCATGGTGTGGTAGACACCACGTTTCGCGTACCTGGACGAGCGCAGCGACCTCGGCAAAGACGACTACATGCAAGGTTGCAGAAGACTCGATTGAGGGCAGAGCAGAACACTGTACAGTCGGACATGACCCACGAGCCAAGGCCGAGGCCGAGGAATGCCACATAGAAGCGCGGGCTCTCGTACATCGTGGGTGCCATGGGATCGTCGGCGCGCTTCGTCGTTGCCATCGGCGTCCTTCAAAAATAACGCGGGTGATGACTCTGGACGACGCCGTAACGGGGGTCTACCCAAAAGATGTCAAGGGGAGGGGGGTCCACAACACATACCATGTGCACACTATATGCGGACGCTTCAAGGTGCCAAAGCGCACTTATTTGATGAGTCACCGCTTTCCATTTTCCTGCTGGACGGACGTCGGGAGCATGGCGGGAAAGCGCAAGCAGACGACGAGCGAGGACAAGCCGGCGGCAAAGCGTGCGACACGCGCGTCCAAGAAGGCTGACGACGCTACGGACGAAGTGCCCGCGTCGGCGCCCAAGAAGGCGCAGGCCGCTGGCTGGGACTTTCTGAAAGCACCCAAGGGCGACCAGCTCAAGAAGCCAGCCAAGAAGGCCGCAGCGCCGGTCGCCGATGCCGAGTTCCCGCCGCTCGCTGACGAAGACCTGAAGGTCTTTGACGGCGTCATTCCCGCGCCGTCTTCGTCGGCGCAATACCGCGTTCTCGCCTGGTACGGCGCTCGTCATGCTGCCTCGTATGTGACCTCATAGGTAGGAACGTCAACGGGCTTCGTGCCGTCCTCAAGAAGGACAACTACTTTCGTGCATATATTGCGCGCGAAGACCCGGACGTGTTGTGCTTGAGCGAGACCAAGATCGACGACGCGTCGCTCGGCGCGGTGCGCAACATCCTGCCGCAGTACGGGCACCAGTACTGGAAGTGCGCGACGCAAAAGGGTATTTCATAGAGTACCTGCCAGCCCATGTACGACGCTCTGTAGGGTACTCTGGCACGGCCATGTTCTCCAAGACCAAGCCCCTGCGCGTCCTTGACGAAATCACGGTCGATGGCCAAGTCGACGACGAAGGCCGCTTCCTCGCGCTCGAATTTGAGAAATTTTGGCTTGTACACACCTATGTACGACAAACCCTCCATTCGCCTGTCATACCTCATCGCACGCCGCCTACGTATCTATAGGTGCCCAACGCGGGCCAAAAGCTGGACCGGTACTTGCAAATCATACCTTGTTGTTGTTTGAACGGCATGTATTGTAGCCTCGAGTACCGCACGAAGAAGTGGGACACGGCTCTCTTTGCCAAGCTCAAGGAGCTCGAAGCAACCAAGCCCGTCGTATGGTGTGGCGACTTGAACGTCGCGTACGAAGAGATCGACATCCACGACCCCAAGGGCAATGTATATCCTGCAAATGACAGCAAACGACAAGGAGCGATCCATCTGTGAAAATAGCGCAACAAGTCGGCGGGCTTTACGGACGCCGAACGCGAGAGCTTTGGGTCGCTCCTCGCCGACGGATTCGTCGACACGTTCCGGTCCAAGTACCCCGAGACGCAGACGTTTTCGTATTTTTCGTACCGGTTCGGGGCGCGCGAAAAGAACAAGGGCTGGCGCCTCGACTACTTTGTCGCGTCGAAAGCTCTCTTGCCACACGTCGTACGTCAATTCTCCAAGGTCGTGCGATCGAAATGCTGCGTAGGAGGACTCTGCGATCCGGTCGGCGATCACAGGCAGCGACCACTTGCCAATTGCCCTCACCTTGAGTGGTTTGGACGCCTAAACGTTCCAAGTGGTCGCCTCCAAGACCATAACAAGACAAGACAGCATTTTGTGGTCCATCGCATATGATGTGGTTTACATCTCGGTGGCTCATAGATAGAGAGTACTGTCTGCCCTCGGTCTCATGCACGTGGCGCCGAGAGCAGCGAGACAGTGGTCACGTCGTCTGCGTCGAATCGCGACACCGGGTCGCCGTAGTGCTGTCGCTTCCACTCAATACGGATCTCGGCATAGTCCTCGGGAAGGCGGAATCCGTCGTCGTCCATGGCGTCCTCCGCGCATCGATGAGCGTTCACATGTGTTTGCAGCTCCGTTGTGTTGGCTTCGCACAGTGGCACGGCGCGGTACGCAGCGCGTGGGAAGAGGAAGGCTTCGAGGCCGTCCTCTTGCATCTCGCGCCACACGCTCGCGCAAAAGGCAACCACGTGGTCCATCCCCGTCGACTTGTGCACTGACATGAGCAGCACGAGACGCCACCCGGCGTTTCAACCGACGACCCTTCAACTATCCAAGTACACGTATCCAGATCGGCTCATTTCCATGCAAACAACGGCGGATTGTACATGGACGACGTTTGTTGGCGCCGCGTCCATGCAGAGAGATATGGGGGCGGCACTAGATAGACGTATCGTGCGTTCTGCTACCAAGGTAGTACTGTAGTAGCATTTTCACCTTGCATTCGCACACTGGTGACGCAAATGACCACAATATTTAAACGAGATGCTACCTCTTGTACACTCTGCGCCAGAGGTACATAAAAGTACCCCTGCTCTGCGCGGATCGAAGTTGTATTAGGTGCGGACGACTGCGAACAGTGTTGTTAGCTCTTGGTGTCCGTGACCGAGCGGGTGCGAGTCAAGCCCTTTGAAACGATATCGCGGCCGAATAGCACTGGGTACCGCTTGGGCATGTTGTCCAAGACGTTGGCAGCAAATCTGGTGGTCGCGATCTTCGCCTGCGCCCTAGCGTGCCACGTCATTTGTCTAAAAACACGCAAATATTGGTGCGTACACGAGGATCGCGTGCGACGCCGCTTCAGTCGCAAAGCTCTTGGTCGATTCTTTGGACGCGGGCGCTGTTGGCTTCTTCGAGCAAAAGAGGTGGCCGACGCCAGACGTCGAGAGCTCGCGGTACCGAAAGTCGCGATCGAGCGGCGGCAAGTGGTTCACAAAGGCTTCGCGGTCTTGTAAATGCTTCTCAAAGACATCGACGCGCGACGGAATGTCCTCGCCGTGGAGAACTTGGGCCTTAATGCGCTCCCGAACGGATGCTGGAATCGTATCGAGCTCGATCAATTGCCGCGTCCGGACGAGCACCCGGTACCGGTAGTTTGGTATGCGCGTAATCTATCCCGATCTAGTATTTTGTACCACCCACAATGGCGAAAACGACGTACAGGGCAGTGACTCAGGTCGAGGTGACTCAAGTCCTGGAGCTTGGTGAGGGCGTCAATATGGTGCAGCTCCCGAATGCGGTTGTGCGATACATCGAGGGTCTGGAGGACCTTGCAGTTCTAGAATAAGAAAGCAGTGCTGCCAACATATCTGAAACGCAAGGTACGTACGCCAAAATCCTTGAGTGCTTCGATGCTGTTGTGTGCCAAGTTGACGCGCAAGAGACGTGCGAGGCGCGGCAAGTCGGCCGTATTGGAGATCTCATTGTGCGACAAGTCCAACGTCTCGATCGGGAGGTTGCCCGTGAGGCCTTTGGTCGAGCGCAGCTTGTTGTGGCTCAAGCTCACATGCTAGTGCGCCGCAACGTTTGAGCTCCAGCAAATGCTCGTCGACTTCACCTTGAGAAAGACGAGGGCGGAGAGACCTGAAATCTCGGTGATTTCGTTGTGGTCCAAGACGAGCTCCTGGATGTAGCGATGGCGCGAGAGGTCGCGCATGGCCGTGATGCGGTTCCACGCAACGTTGGCGACGTGGAGCATCGACCCGATTGCGTGGCTGCCGTCGACCCACGCCTGCGCTTTCGTGCAGAGCGGCGTGTCGAAATCTACTCAGGCATCAACCTTCGCCACACAGAGTCGACATACGCACCCAAGAGGGTCGTGAGCTCATTGTGGGACGCATCGAGGCGGATGAGAAAAGGCAAGTGGGCGAGCGGTGCAAGCGTCGTGATCTGGTTCTCGGCCACGTCCACGTCCTAAGGCATGGGATGGCACGACGCATTTCGCCATCCAAGACACACCTGGAGATGTGGAAACTCGGCCAAGACATCGATGGCCTCGAGGTGCTGATGCTACGTCGCCACGGTAATCGACGTGCAAAGACACTCGGGATACTGTATGTACCTGGAGGACGAGCTTGGTAAAGATGTGCTTGTTGCTGATCGGGTGCTTCCCGAGCGTGCTCACGTTGCCCTCGATGAGATGCCGGTCCAAGAGCACCATGGATCGCGTTCTCAGCAACCGGTGCCAACTGAAACGGCCCGGCCAACCGGCGCGATCCTCCGCCCGTCCACGTCATGTACGCAAAGAGGTAATAGGATTGTAGTCCTTACAAGGCGATTAGTCCAAGACAAAGTGGCCTCCCTTCCCGAGCGAGAAGCTCGTGAGCGTGTCAAAGTCGGCCTCGACCTCGCGGTTCACCTCGCGGACAATGTCCTTGATCGAGAGCATGCCAATGATGTCGCCGTTCTTGTCGACGACGGGCAAATGGCGCACGTCGCTGTTGAGCATCTTGGTCATGAGCTCGGACGGCGTCTCGTGCTCTCTCGCGTTCACGAGCCGACCCTTGTGCGTCATGATCTCCGCGACCAGCGTCTCTTTGGCCGTGAGCCCTTGCAGCTCGACCTTCTTGAGGTAGTCGCGCTCGCTTACAACGCCGACAAACTGGTTGTTGCCGTCCGAGACGGCCAAGCACCCGAGGTTGATGCCGGCCATGCGCGTGATCGCCTCAAAGACCGTCGCGTTCTGGTCAATGATAAAGTTGACGCCGTAGTAGCAGCTCTTGGTCATCATGTCCTTCGCCGTACCCTTGTCGTAGTGGTAGCGGCGGTACGCCTGCCCGTACACGGGGCTGCCATGCTTGAGGTGCGCAGAGGCCATCGACGCCATCGCTCGCATCGCCATGGTACTCCTGCCTGCCGCTTGGTCAACAAATCTTTCACTCCGCTTGCCCGAAGCATTTCAGTAACCGATATCGTGTACGCTGCAAGCCTCGTGAAATAGTGTAAAATACGTTTATCGAGGCGTTCACGATGACAATATCCGATCATACTGCTGCCTGTTGTTTTTCGACATCAGGTGTACGTCGTGATGATAGCGCTGGACGCCGCTTGGCAGTGCTCATAACGTACAACATTGTATGCGGTGGGCTTTGTCCATCGATGCCTTCACTATTTACGTATATTATAATAGTGTAATGAAGACGCTCGGCCGCTGGATTTCTCTTCCGGTTACGTTTATGCCTATCCGGTGACTTCAGAATTATTTTATAGTAGAGATACAAAAGATAGGTTAGTTCAGAATAATATAAAACGAGTAAACTCCCTAAGTATTTGAAAAGAAACGTTGCAAGAATGGAGTTTTATCCGAGAGACTCCTTCATTGCGTCGCTCATCTGTTTTGCATCATGGTCCGCACGTCGGTGCTCGGCGCTGCCACGACGCTCTTGCTGGCGCTACAGGCCGCCGACGCCATGTTCGACTCCAACCAGGTGTGCGATGCGCGCAGTGACATCTGCGCCAAGAAGGGCAAGGTCCTTGCGCCCAAGCGGTAGGCGCCGACGACCTCATGGCTCGCGCTCACTCATGGCCATCCTAGCGACTACAAGATCTGGGCCAACGGCTGTGGCACCGAGTCGATGGGCTTCCAGGTCATGAACGACGACGGCGTCGACTTCTCGTCCTGCTGCAATTGGCACGACGCGGTACGTACGGCGACCATCCATCGCTCGTGGCTCAATCGCCGACACAGTGCTATGGCGTGTGCGGCATCTCCAAGGCCATGTGCGAGCGCAAGTTTGAAAAGTGCATGAAGGACCTCTGCGCCAACGAGAGCGGCGTCGACGCGCAAAAGTCATGCGACTCGATGGCCGAGATCTACGCGATGGGCCCCAAGCTCATGGGCTGCCCCGCGTTCACAAAGGCCCAAAAGGAGGCGTGTACGTGCGTCGACAAAGAGAAGCTCGCGGCCAAGAACCGCGCTCGCCTCGAGTACTTTGTTACGACCCATGCCAACGGCCTCGAGTCGGTCGACACGCTCCTCGAAAAATACGCTGGTGCGCACTTCGATACCATTTGACCGCCGATAGAAAGAGGCGCTCTGTAGGCAAGGCACCTGTGATGTTCTACCGCTTGCTCGGCAAGTACCCAAGTGCGCTCGTCATCAAGGAAGCGACCAAGACCAAGGAAAGCTCCATGTTTGAGCGCATGAAGGCAGACATTGCCAAAGAAGACAGTGCTGTCGACGAAAACATCGAGCATATTGAGCTTTAAAGATACTGCAAACGACGCAGGATGTTTTCTCTTCTGTGCAGACATGTCCATGCTGGAAGACACGTTACAGTAATAATGTCATGCTTGCGTGCACCGTGGAGCGTAGTACAGTTGTGTGAGTCAAGGGACTCGATCCAGTAAGGGGAGGGGCCGCGTCGACACGTGTATGGGCTCCGCAAACCTCAATACCGGTATGTCAATCCACCGTGGCGGCGTAAACTTCGTTTTTACAACACCAAACTCTCAACGATATTTCTGCGTGCGCAGCGCTACGCCAGAATGCGTGGGAGTTGACGCCAGCGCTTGGTCGTTGGGCGGACCCTTTACGCGTCTTCCATTCACTTCCCGAGCCTACATGCATCGTACCAGGCACATATTGCAGAGTGGGATTCTGTGACACAACATGCGTTTGCCCAGCTTGCACCGTGGGTGAAACCAGGTCAATTCTCAAAATGCACAAAAGACAGGCAATTTAAAAGACAGGAGCCGTATCCATGCACGCCATAAGCTCACGCCATCGGGTCTCCTATATCGTTACTGCACTGCAGCACACACTACTGTACTTTGTCAGGGCGCGCACAATCCAATCCACCCGCATCCCATCCCGGCATGGTGCGGCGCGCCTCGGCACCAGCGCTCTCAATTTTTGGATCGGCAGCGCCCCTGCCAAAGGTCTCCTCCACCTCGTCTACCACGGCGTCTTATTACGGACTCTGTGCGTAGACTGCGTACCAGATATTGCTCGATGAATTTCGCAGCGGGACGATTCCTGAGGGCCTCGACGTCGACACCGTGCTCGACGATGTACGTATCTCATACAAAAAACATCTCGGAAAAGACCTCCATGCATTCTAGCTCGGCGGCACACCTCTGCACGTGGCGGTCATGGCCGGCAACGTGACGGTCCTCGAGGCAATTCTTTCGCGTGTGCAAGACATCAACGTCCGCGACCGGGTAGAACCCTGAGCATTCGAGATCGAAGCTTCCGCCTCTTTTATCCGTCGCCTTGTAGGCGGGCCGGACGGCCCTGGCGGTTGCAGTGGGCCACAACGAACTCGACAGCGTCCACTGCCTCATCAAGCAAGGCGCCCTTCTCAACACGCACGACCAGGTACACAACATACACGCGACAACGCATACTATGGTGCTGATCTTGGAGTGCAGAACCTATCGAGTCCTTTGTACAACGCCATTCACTATGGCAGGACGGACATAGCGCTGACCCTCATTGCCGCCGGCGCCGACGTCAACGAATCTGTCCAGGTACGACTCTTGAGAACGTGGCACACCTAATTTTATGAACAGGGGAAGCCGAACCTGCTTCTCACTGCGAGTTCGATGAGCTCCGACGACGCGGCGAACGCGCTCATCCCCGCCCTCATCGCCGCGGGGGCCAACATTACCGATGCCATGACCGTATAATTGTGTCTTTGCGACTCGATCCTTTGACGTGTGTCCGTAGGATTGGTTTTGTCGAATGGGCTGGTCCGACTTCAAGGTGGATCGCATGCGGCTTTTCTTGGCCCACGGCGCGCGCTTTGCCGACATGCCGGTGATCGTACGTCATCGTCACTCTTCCATGTGCCATTGGTGCTGACTGTGACGAGTTCTATAGGCCAACGAAATCATGGTCGCCAACATTGCGTACTTGAAGTTCTACCTCGAGCACGGCGGGGATCCCAACAAGCAAGACAACCTGGTACCTTCGATGCTAACCATCGGATTGCGTGCGATCCGTGCGGTGTGGTGTAGATGCCGCTTCTGTCCGTTGCCCTCGAAAAGCGATCGTGGGAGGCCGTCGAGCTTCTAGCACCGGTGGCCGACGGCAACTGTCTCGGCGATATTGATGCAACCGAAGACTGGCGCAAGCCAATTTATAATGCGTCCAAGGTGTGCCTTGATATGGCCCCGCTCAGCCAGGCTGTGAAGATCAACCTCGACACAGCACTGATCGAGAAAATGCTGGTGCATGCCAGCGTCCAGCCACCCGCGGTAACTACATTCATGCTTGATTGCCGCTCTTGGTACCATCGCGGCTCAATCACGACGTCCTCTAGTACTACGCGGAGGTTCTCAAGAAGGCACTTGAAGCCAAGAGCGCTTCCAACGTGGCGCTACTAGCGTCCAAGGTCGACCTCAAGTCCGAGGTAAGGTTACCGTATAGCCACCGAGTGTGATCACATTCGCCTGCTAGTGCTTTCTTCACGACGCGGTCCACAACCCCGACTTTGTGGCGCTGTTGTTGGAACTGGGCGCAGACCCCAACCAGCGCGATCAGGTACCAACACACATGCTAGGACTACTGTGACGAGTCGACGCCGCACATGATGTATTAGCAACGCTGCCCTCCGCTGCTTCGCGCGTGTCAATTGCAACATGAGGCTTCGGCGCGCATCCTGCTGCCGCACACGACCAACTACGACATGGGGGACCATGTATGGCCCACTCGATGTTGCTCGAGTCGTCAATATGTCTCTGTAGTTCCCGCCACTTCTCGAGACCGTCGCAAACTCCGGTCTCCGCGGCCTGGCCCGAGATATCGCGCGTACCATCTCGTCAACGGCACCGGCACCGCCGCTGCACAAAATCTTTTGGCAGCCATGTGTCGAGAGATCGATCCACTCACCACATGCTTGTGACGTGTGGTGTTATGCACCGGATCGCGCGACAGCCTATGCCAAGCTCGAGCTCGAGTACATGGCAGCTCTCTGCACGCTCCTCGACGAGCCGTACTGGTGGAAGAAGGAGGCTTTGCCGACCCTCCCGCATGGTGCCTTCATGGACGATACTGCCGTCATACTTGGCGAGCTCCAACTCATTCGCGATACGGTTGTGCGTCCCCTTGGCCTCGTGCCCAACACGACCCGCGGTGTGTACCACGCCGACGACGCGCTATCGGTCGACTTGCTATCGTCACTCGGCCATCATCTGGAGCCGCTCGAAGCTGCCGCGTCCTGGGCTGACAACGTCTTGGAGGTCGTCGATCCAGCCATATACGGCGCAGTGTATGGCCAATCTCGCTTCAGCGTCCACCCGCACAACATGCGACTGGGAATCTCTTCGAGCGCCATCGTCCGACATGAGACGCCTTCGTCGATGGCGCTTGCAGACGCCGTGTGCCCGCACCTGCAGATGCTGCCGACGCCGGTGACGTGGGACCCGTCCTCGCGCCAAGTGACGCTGGAGAGCTACGTCAACAACATCCATCCGTCGCAGTCGGCGCTCTATACGGTGCTCGCCAAGACACTATCGACAGTGCTACCGCTGCTGGATGCCGCACGGTGGGTTCCACGCAAAGACATCCGGCGCATTGAACGCGGTGGCGGCCACGAGAACGAGCTACGACTGCTCCGGGATGCGTACCTCCAGCACCATGGTCTCGACCCGTCGGCGCCTGTTTTGCAAAAGACGTTGCGGGCCTTCAAGAGGGCGCAGGGACCCATCACGAGCCAGTTGCAGCCAGCACCACCGACGCTTGAGTACGCTCAACGGTTCTGGAAGGACTATGGGCCGCGTCATGACGACGACCGTGGCTGGCTGCTTCCGAGCAAGCCCCAGTCGCACCAGGTGCTCTGCCACGTGCAGTGTCTCCGCGTGACGCCCGAGGCACCGACGATGACGACGGCGTGGCGGCGTGGGTCGGGCGCTGTCAACGAGTCTGTCGATTTCACCGCCGTCATTCTGCACGGTGTGGACAACGTCTCGCTGCGGGTCGAGTTCCGAGAGACGTACGAGTACGCTGACTTTGGCCCGCACAAGCGCAATCCTGCGATCGAGGTACGACGACACAAGATGTTGTGAGATGAGCAACGGATGTTTGTAGGTGCTTCTCAGCGACGTGGTCCCTGGGCGCGTGAGCCAAGACACAGGGTTTGTGACCTTGCGACCAGGACGCCTCCTGCTGATTCGGAGCTCGGCCGCGTACCGCCTTCACCTCCAGTCCGCTGACTCCTCGCGTGAAGGCGTCGCAAAGCTGCTCTTCTGGGGCTTCGTGCGTCCGAGCGGAACGACCACCAAAGCCATCTGTTGGTTTGCGAGTCAGGGCACAATGATCGACAACGCCATCTTGTCGACGGCCGACGTCCTACCGCAGCAACGCGCCTGGCTTCTCGATCTGGTCAACGCGACGCCACTCGGTCGCCTGCCCTCTGTCGTCCAAGAGCTCATCCTTGACTTTGTTGGCCATGCAACGCTCAGCACAGATGAGGCCGCCGCGGTGGCAACCGTAGCCAAGGTTGCGCGAGAGGTCCTCGTTGCTGCTTCTTTGGGCTAGCGATGCAGAGATAACCAACTACTAGTACATTGGATGAAATGAAGACCTTCAAGCTCATACGACTAGGCATACGGGCCTGGATGAAGCAGACCAATACAGAGAAACTATTGAAGTCAAGCCGAAGAGCGCACACACGGTCTAATGATAGTCTCCATCTGCGTAAGTGCGTGCTTGCACATGGTAAGAAAACCACGAAAACGACGACAGAGTTACTTCTTCGACGCCTTGGTCGCGGGGCCGCTCGGCGCCACCGCGCCGGTCTCTACCAGCGTCGTCTCGCTATCGCACAAGTATTCGGGCTTGCTCAGATTGACGCCGTAGTCGCGCAGGCTTGCCGAGAGGTCTTCCATGGTCAGCGTCGCGCGCTACACATAGAGCATGAGCCATTATCATGGACCATTGTATGGCCTAGTCATCGTACGTCATTGGGCGCGCCGCCTTGCGCGTTCAGCCGGTGTTGCTGGTAGAGCTTGGCGTCATGTGCGACGTCGAGCACAAATTTCTGCGCCACAAGCGCCACCATGCGTACGCTACGAAGCGAGCGGTCAGCTCCGACGATGGCGACGACGGCCTACATGCGCGGGTCCTCGGACGCGAAGCCAGCCGAATGGAGGTAGTGGGCCACGACGTCGTCTGGGATCGCCGGGTTGAAGCGGGTCATGGCCTCGAGGAACTCGTTCATCTGGCCGGCGTCCATGTCCATTTCGCGGTTTGTAAAGCCAAATGCGAGGTATAGTGTTCCAGAGGTTTTGAAGAATATCCGGTATCCAGATGTATCAATATATGCAGTATAGAGCGGTTTCGTTTTGAGGCTAGATGCACCAGTATTTTCACTTTGGCGAGCGCCACCAATGCCGATATATGACTGCAAAGTTGCGTGTGTGTAGTGTATCGGCAGCGTTACACGATTGGAAACCTCTTATCCCGGCGAGTCCGAGGTCAATGCACCGCGAAGCCTGCTAAAGTCACAAGTATGCTACCGTCGTGGCTTTCAAAGGCACCATGTGCAACAGTACTCAAGGCAGCGGTACTATACTCTGCGGGCAACGAAATTGGGTAGAGAGCACTCTACATAGGATGCCGACGGGCGACCAAACGGTGTGGCAGCGATCGCCAGTCCACGCCCCAGACGCGTGCCTGATACGACTACGGCGCCTCAAAGTACTTTGGCCGCCAGCTCGAATCAAAATGTGACAAAGCAGCCCGTGCCGACCCAAGCAGCAGCAGCAGACATCATGGAGCACTTCCCATTGCTGCCGTTGGGCCTTATTCCAACGCTCGAGAGCCACGTGCTGGCCGACTGCAAAACCAAACTGCAAGCGCTCCTTCAAACCCTTACGGATGACCCAGATGACGTGAGCCTCGGCCATGTACGTAAAATTTGGGAAGGCGTAGAAAAGGCACCATACCTTGCTCGATGTAGTACATCAAGAAGGAAGTGGCCGTCATCGTGACCGAGATTGAAGACCGACGCGCGCGTCAGCGCATCGCAGATCTCGTTTTGGGAGTGCAGACGGCGACTCTGATTGAAATCGGCACCAAGGCTTCGGCACCCGAGCACATCACAACGTCCACGGGCCAAAATCAGCCGAGTGTTGCAAGGGTCCCAGCATCATCCCCGACACTTCCACCACAGCGGACGCCAACCCAAAAGCCATCAACCCAAGCCAGCACTCTTCCCGCCTCGATCAAGTCGGCGGTATCTAAACCAGTGCCGTCCGCAAAGGCTTCCGAGACGGTGACGCCAGACGCGTCGTACGGTGCACCTCGTCGGCTCTCAATCAAGGAGATGCTCGCCAAAGCGAAAGCGTCGCGCGTCGCTGCGAATGACCCGAGCGTGCGCTTCATCATCCAAAACACAGGGTCGCTCAAGCTCAAGAGACGCGGAACAGCAAAAGCCAAGGCGCCAAAAGAAGAGACGCCCGAGGAGCGACTTCAAAAGCAAAAAGAGCTGAGGCGTCAAGCCGCCCACGACCGTCTCGTTGCGCGCCAGGCCAAGATGGCGCTCAAGAAGCAGCAGGTGCGATGCACGAGGCATCTTGCGTTCTCACGCGAACCATTGCGCTGTAGGAACTCGCGCGCCGCAAGGCACTCAAAGAGCAGCCATCGCGCAGCACCAAGACGATGCGTCAAGTGATTCCGCCAGCGATATTGACGCCGCAAGCTCTGATTCGGACGAATACGTCGACGACGCCGTCCACGAAGTCTCCATCGACCCGTTGCCAGACCCAACGCCGCGCGTCGAAGTCGAGACGGACGAGCGCATCACGCGCATCAACAACACCCTGTGCAGCATTCAAGCCGCCGAGAATTTGGCTCGTATTCGATCAGCCGGAGCTGCTCGTCATGCCGTCGCCCTAGTCTCGGAGGAGGTTCCGTCGTCGACACCAAATGTGACGGCACACGCAAACCACGAAGGCTTGGAGCTCTGTGCAGCGCCAACCACGGACCCTATTGCACCTTCCGGCCCCATTTCTCCAACCAACGTCGACATCGACAGACAGACGGTGAGCTATGTCGAGACACCACCACTTGCCATCAGCGAAGACACGGACAGTTTGCTCGCTTTCAATCGACCGTCCAATGAGGATGGTACCAGTCGAGTGGACGACGAGCCGCAGAGCACTCCTGACGACGACGACGACAAGCCGTTGCCCAGCTGCAGCAGCAACAATAGCTGTGACGTCGAGTCGACAGCGGGCGACAGCAACGACAGCGACGACGACGGCAATGAGTCGGGAGATGACGAGAAGGTGCCGCCGTATGTGCCCCCTGTGTACGACAAGTCGGTTTTTCACTCGTCGATCCCGATGCAGCTGCTTGAGAGTGCGTCCCCGTCCTATGTGTTGTCAATGTAACTCAACTACCGCGTAGCCGCCTTGGACAAGATGATAAAGACCCAGGAGGCTGTCGCTCCACCGTTACCAGAATGGTTCCAAGCGCAACGCGAGTCAATCGAGAAGCTCGTGACACCACGTGCGATTGTACCTTCTCCGCGGCCGGCGCAATCCATGGGCCACGCGCGCCAGATCCTTCACGATCTCGTGGCGAGCCAGAACCAAATCAAATCGTATCAAGCAAGCGTCGAGAGCACGCTTGCGTCCCTCGCACCGCCGCCACCTCGTGAATTCACGCCCGAATTGGCGCCCAAAACTCTGCGTCCCAAGTCGTCAAAACCAAGGCTCGCACCACGATCCACGGCGGCCCGCAACAGCACGAACCAAGAAACGCCCGAGCCGACATTATTGCGTCGGTCGGCCAAGTCGACGCCGCGTCTGCATGTCAAAGCAGCGCCCGTGCTGCCACTGGTCCCGTCCATGCCACCACTGTGTACGGTCGACTACTCGAAATACTACAAGAACTTTCTGTGCATCATGACCTCCTTTTACGAGAAAGCGTCGACGGCCAATCCGAAAGAAGCCCTTTTGCAAGGCGAGACGGCGCTACGCTTCCAGCTCAAGCTCTACACCATCTGGAAGAACGTCATGCACGACTACGCAACCGTGTTTGGTGTCGACGGTGCGCCGTCATCAAATTTTGCCTCATCGAATGACGATGCCATTGTAGGCTTGCTCAAGACCAGCCGCGCCGCTTCGTACGTGTACGATGGTGCGCAGTCGACGCCGTTTACCGCGCAGTACCGTATCAACTCGTCGTCGCGGCTTGAAGTGTTTGGAATCGTGGCGCAGGCGGTGAAAAAGGTAGCTGCTCGAATGTACAAACGGGGCGGTCAAGACACAACTGGATAGCTGCCCGACTGGGAGGAATTGCCCGTGGACCTTGGCCTGAACACGACATGGAATCTCTTGTGGACGTGGAGCAAGCCGCGTGTCGATGTACATACATGTTTGGATCTTGCTTCGTCATGTCTCACGCTGCGTCGTAGCGCCAAACGCTCCTGGTGTGGCAAAAAGTCAACCACTTTGCGGGCGCCAAAGCACTCACACGCAAGGACATGCTCAAGAAGAGTTTGCATCGCTACACGGTACGAATCGATATTTTATATGTCGTTTTAGGACACAATGGGTCTAGTCGCTCGGTGGCGAACGCCTGAAGAGCTTTGACATTGCCCCCGAGACGTTTATCTTGCCAAACGACTATATTCCGTTTGTGCAAGCCTTCAAGAAACGTGGCGACGCGATCGGTCCAACCAAAAACGTCTGGATCATGAAGCCCGTCGCGCTCTCGCGCGGGCGCGGCATCTCGCTTCTCAACGACCTCGGGCAAGTGGCCTACGGCGAAGCCGTTGTCGTGCAAAAGTACATTGAGAACCCGCTCTTGCTCGACGGCTTCAAGGTCCGCCGTCTACTGTACCATTTTCAGGCGTATAACTCGATCCTGGCTAGTTTGACTTGCGTCTCTACGTCTTGGTCACGTCCTTCAATCCGCTCGAGGTATCTTTTCTCATTGGTCGTAAATGCTGACGACGATGCATCTAGGCCTTCTTTTACCAAGAAGGCTTTGTGCGTATTTGCACGCACCGCTACTCGTCCGACGCGACCGACATCAACGATCTCTTCATGCACCTCACCAACAGCAGCATTCAAAAATACGGCGACATGGACCAAGTCGCGTACGTTCTTTTTCTTTTACCTCCTTGTCGCGATAAGGCCGAGAAATTTAAGGCTTCCATGGACTGTAGCGACAACCCGGTGAATAATGCGTCCACGACCGAAGCCGGTGGTACAAAAGCGAGGTACGTTTCGGATATACGAATACGAAAGCACACGCTGACGGTACAGCTTGGCATACCTCTGGTCGCGGCTCGCGGCCGTGCACGCCCCCGTGGAGCAGATCAAAGAAGACATCATCCACGTCATTCTCAAGTCGCTCGTGGCAGGCGAGGACGCGATTCCGTACCAAGTCAATTCGTTTGACGTATTTGGCTACGACATTTTGCTCGACGAAGCGTACCGGCCGTGGCTCATCGAGATCAACTCGTCGCCGTCCATGGCGCGCGAAAACAACTTGGATTACGTCATCAAGGACGCGCTCATGCACGACACGATGCGCGTGGTGCAGCCGCTGCACTTTGATCGCGCGGCGCTCATTGCGATCCTCACGCGCCGGTTGGACGACATTGCAAAGGAGCGCAAGCGACCGAATTTGCTCCACCCACTCGAAGCTGAAGAGCGGACAAAGCGCCAACTCAACGCGGATCTCCACGATATTTTGCACGGCGCGGTGCCCCGCGAATACGGCGAACTCCCGGACGAGCTCGGGAACTTTCTTCGCATTGCGCCGAGTCCGTGGCACAATGCAGTGATGAAGCTCAAGCGCAGTTGCTTTCGCGACAAGACGCCCAAGCCATAATAACGAGTCGAATGCTAAAGCAAACATGGCGTGTTCTCAGTCGCACGGCGCATCTTCGTCGCTAAAGTACGTATCTTGCTTGAGCTGTTTGCGAGGCCGCGTCGGCGACGCAGGCACATGCGGCTTTGCTTCGTACGCCAGCGTTGCGACACCAATGTCCCTACCCAATCCATATCACATCATCAGTGCATGGATCCACGACAACACCATGCCTACGTCGCGTCCATATCGAAAAACACCTCGGCTTCGCCCGACTCAAACTTGGTGCGGCGCTTCGTACTCTTCTTCTTGGGCTTTTCGCGCGCGCCAAGCACGTTGCGCGGGCAGTCGTACGAGTAATGGCCGCCGCCTTGGCATTCAAAGCACACTTTTTTCGCCGAGTACTTGCGCTTCTTGATAAACTCGGTGGACCGGCCATTGTCCTTGGAGATGGAGCAGTGGAGCGTAAACGACTCGAGCGGCGTGTTGTGCATGGCGGCGCACGCGCGCGCGCAGTCGGCCGGTTGCGCAAACTGCACAAACGCCACGCCACGGCTCGCCCGCGTCTCTCGATCGCGCAGAATCGTCACGCGCGCAATCTTGCCAAAGCCCGTAAAGAGCTGCGCGACGTCGTTGTTGGTGTACGCGTACGGCAGCATCGACACGTACAGCGTCGACCTCGACGGGCAGTACCCACCCTCGTCGGTCATGTGAAAAGGCAATGTCATGTTGCGTGCAACTAGACACGTTATCCGGATACCAAGTGGGATCTTCTACAGACGCCAAAATATGACGGCCTACAACGACCTGCTCGCGCTGAGCGACCTCCTGCGCCACGACAACGACGCCGACGACGACGAGCGCTGTGATGTACGTGGCATCTGATTTCTCGTGGCTTGAGTGGCAGTGTAGAAGCACCCGTCCGTGACGCCGTCGACGATCGCGGCCCACGCACTGCCACGAGGTCGCATGCCACCTCGCTGCACCAGCTTCGGCATTGTGTCGCTGTGTAGATGCCATGCTTCGGCCCATTGGCCAGATCAAGCAGAAGGACCCGAAAGCCATCTGGGACGACGACGAGGTCTTGAGCGATGCGGAAGACGATGATGATGGCGATGCTCGCAAGCGCCCAAGGTGCAATTCGTCCCAACCACCGCGATCGCATCATGTGGGCACAGGCACGAGATACTGTACAAGCAAGACGTCATGACAGAAGACGTGTTTTTGGGCCTCGGCGACAAGGATCCGTCGACGGCCCACTGCGACGCCATCGTGGTCAAGATCCAATTTCCAGGTCACAAGCGTCGCGAAATCGACCTCGACGTCAAGGCCCAAAAGCTTGTGGCCCAGTCGTCGAAGCTGTACGACGCGAGGAATTGTAGAAAGAAGACGCCCGATCGATGTGTGTGTGTAGAAAGCTCTCGACCTACCTTCCCCACCCTGTCAAGTACAAGGAGGGAAAAGCGCAGTGGGACGGCAAGACGGAAACGCTGCTCGTGACGCTCCCCATCATCCGTGACAACGAGTGGTAAATTCAATTTCAAAAGATAGCAATGTGCCCTTCTCGTATTGCTTTGCCAGCGCATGGTATGTACTCGATTAAAGTCTACTGCTGCCACCTCATTCCGCACGGGCGGGACCTCTTATGTCGCATTATCGAATGACCTCGCCGTTCAAGAAGCTTTTGGTTGCCTCGTAGACGCCAAATGAGATGCCCGTGTTGGGCACGGTGCTCATCATGCGAATGATCGACCCTTTCCAAAGCAGCTGAAGGCCTTCTTCAGCAATCGACCGCTGCAGGCAGTGCACAATACCACGGTACACTTGGTTGTTGCCTACAACCTCGCGGATGCCATGTGTGCCGACAGCAAGACGCGCGCACCTTGCACCATGAGGCGCAGCGTTACAACGTCCAGCGGGTTGGTCAACACCGCAGCGCCGGCCCCCGACACGGCGCCAATAGCAATGGTCTCGGCCGTGGTTGGCAAGCGGTCCAACTTGGTCCTACACCACACGCCGTGAATCCATGCGCTTTCTACGATCGTGCTACGTGAATTGCTTCTTGAGTGCCTCGTAAAACACAAAGCAAAAGCCGGCAAAGGACGCTTCAATGGCCAAGCAGGCTGTGTACCCCGAGTAGAGCCCGCGCACACCTACGCCAACTCGGCTTCTGTACTCTTCTGCATGAGATGGCGCTACCTTCGGTACGGACAATGGACGAGACGGCGTGGAAGGTGCCGCGGTAGTTGGTCGTGTGCTTGGACATATCGCCGGTCGCAAGCTGCGGATTGGCCCCCATCTGCATGCGGGACTTGATGACTTCACTCGGTATGTTGGTCGCGGAGCTGCAAAACTCGCTGAAGCACCCGGCGGCGAAATGCGCGACGGGCGCTTGCTCTGGCGGGACTACAGACACGAGCTATTGGTATGTAAGTCCTTGGCTCGATACACAAACGCATGTGCGTACACAAGACTTGCCAACTTCGTACGCTGCGTAGTAGATGCCTGTGTTGATCGGCGCCATCATGAGCGTCGTCCCGAGGCCGCCAAAGAGCCCGCGGACGCCCTCTTCGCGCACAATGGTCTTCCACGCGTGCCAAATGCCCGTGTACTTGGGCGTATCTGCAACTTGCACCTTGATGCGCAAGTTGATCGTGTCAAACGGCAGCAAAATCGAATCCGTGACCGCGCCTGCGACCGAGCCCGAGACCAAGTTGGCCAGAAAGACCGTGAACGCACTGGGCACCGCGCGCGGAAGCGGCACAACTGTATCGATGCTCTCTTGCTGCAGCATCCAATTATGCCAAACCAGCGGTGAAGAATAAATCACCCGGCACCACCGCTCGTTGTTGAAGTGACTGGATAAATCCTTTGTGAATAAATATACTGCCTAAATGTATCTGTGCCGGCCCACAAATCAGATTCGATTGCAACTTAGAAACATCTCGTTAAAGATAATACCTCTCGGCATCTATACGCTAGCGAGACCATGTGGGCCAGTTACGATTTCGCAGAGTGGCAGTTTCAGAGGCAATGACAACCATCGCACAACCGTTCGTCGTTCAACGCCATTCAGTGCACGTGCTTGGACCGCTCCATATTTGTTGTCAACGATCCAGGAATCTATAGGAAATGGCGATGCATACCTTAGCTCTGGTTACACTACTACAACGAGTACACACAAGCGGCTATACCATTGCCAGGACAAAGTACGACCAAATCTATTTCAACTAGTCCAAGCGCTACGTTGTTAACAAGATCATCTAGCCTCATTTCGTTGTGAATGTTGGCTATCAAGTCGGTGAGGCTGCTTCGAGAAATCTCAAATCGAAAAAACGAACTCGAGGCCCATTCATGACGCCATGCGAAGGCTACTCGACGATTTCTGGATGATCGCTTGTCTCGGCCAGTCGCCGCGCAGGCGCTTGTCCAGAAATGTGCTTGCTGACAAGGTCGTGTCTTGCTTGTGTGCGCGTCTCCTTTTATTTATGGCATATGCCACATTTACCACATTGCACGATGGACCAATCACTGGCGCGCGCTCACTACCGTGTCATTTGGTTGGTGCCCGCAATAATCATCCTCACACGGCATGGCGAACCTCAAGGGCAAGGCCGGGCAGAAGAAGAAGCCGGGCGACTTCAAGCGGCCCAAGCGCAAGGTCGGGCGCAAGGTCACGCCGTCGAACGTCACCAATGCGAGCATCACTTCCCGGCGCATCAACATCACGGAGCAAAGCGTGCTCCAAGACAAGACGGGCGCGGCCGTGACCCATCGCAACCAGACGCTCCAGGACATCCTCTCCAAGATGTCGCATTATAACGCGCACGTCCGCCGCGATGCGCTCTTTGCGCTCAAGGAGCTCGTGGGCCTGCATGGTATGACGCTTGTCACCAACGTCGGCATCGTCGTCGAGCGCGTGCTCCAGGCCATGATGGACGACGAAGCCGTGGTCCGCGAGGCCTGTGTCGGCGCCTGGAAGGGCTGTCTCGGCAGCTTGACATCGACCAAGTCCGAGTCGGTGCTCGAGCCGTTCACGTCCTTGATTGCAGTGTACTTTTGCAGCGGCCTCACGCACATCAAGGCCGGTGTCCGCGAAGACGCGCTCGAGCACATTGACGCGCTCCTCGATCTCCCCGTGTGCGCCAACCTCCTCGCGCGCTGCCTCTCGGCCGACCAGTGCGGCCAACTGCTCGAGAACCTCAAGGACCTCGTCTCGCCCAAGCAAACGACGGTCCAGGTCAAGAATTCGTACTCGCTCTTGGCCGAGCGCAACAAGGCCAAGCAAGCGCAGCTCCAGACACAGGTGCTCAAAGGCCGCTTCTTTGCGGTGGCAGCTGCCCATAAATTTCTCCGCGCGCTCGCGTTCCAAGCGCCGTCGGCGTCGACGTCGTCGTCCACCGTCGCGTCTGTCCCGTCGCATCCGGCGAGTGGCACGGTCCTGCTCTTTCCGGCGCCGCAATTTGTTGGGTGGAGTCCGACACCGGCATCGGCGGTTCAAAATGCAGCGGCCACCGTCTCTGCGGCGTCGTGGGCGACCAAGGCCGTGACGCTCCTCCGCGCACTCCTCGCGCTTTGGATGGAAGCCCACGACGAGAGCGCCAACTTGAGCCAGGAGGCGCTCATGCACATGGTCCTCATCGCCGACTGTGCGACAATGCTCGTGCACGAAGCATCGGCGCACATTGATTCTCCGACGATGAAGGCATTCCAGTCGGCCTTTTTTGAAGATTTCCCGAAAGCGTCGCCGGATCCGCTGCGCATCGACATTTCGACGCTCCACCATTGGAACGCGCTCAACTTGGCGATGGCGCAGTTTGGCTGCGAGTGCCTCCGCACCGGTGCAGCGCTGCCAGGCGTCAACCTCGACGAGATGATTGCGGCGTTCCTTGCGGCCGAGTTGAAGGAGCTCCAAGCGGACAAGGAGTCGTCGACGATCGCACACTCGGCCAGCTCGATGAAGACGCGGCTCGATATCCTTTTGCTGCTGCTCGAGCGCCAGCCGCACCCTGCGCTCCTCGCGTCGTTTACCGCGCTCTACACGGCGGCGGCGCCGCAGTCGGCCATGTTCCGCACCTGCACGTCGTTTGTGCTGCAGTATTTGACGCCGACGCTCAACGCCGCCCCTGGCACGCTGGTACGCTCCCGTTTCCAGTATCACCCTTCTCATGCGCTACATGGATAGCTGGAATGGGACCTCATCTTGACGTGGATGCAGCAAATGGGCAACTTTTTGCAGCTGCCGCACGCCGAGGCGCACCACGATGCGACGCTGGCCAAGGTATTTCGTGTGTGCATTGCGATCCTCAAGCGTCTGCCGGCCGCGTACCACGCGTCGCCAGCCCTCGCTTCGTGGCTCTCGCGCGTCATGGCGTTCTTTACAGAGACGACCGAGACCAACTGGGTCGGCAGCATGTCGCCGTCGACGCAGATTGAAGCGGCGTCGTGCCTCTACCACCTCCCGTCGTTCCCATCCGAGTTTCTGAAGACGCTCGCGCTCTGCTGCAAGTCGCCATGCGTCAGCGTGGACGCCAAGTCCTTCCTTGTCGACATTGTCGCGACGCACGAAGGTCGGTTCGAGCGCGGCGCGCTCTTGAGTTTCTACCTCAGTACGCTCTTTGCGCCGACCAACCAAGGCATTGCCGCGCAAGTGTGCCGCGTCCTCACTTGGATGTCGCTCGGTGCGTCGCTCTCGTCTATCCTCGCGCCGATTCTCTCCAAGCAGTCGGTCGACGACCACGCGCTCCCGCTCGTCCTCGCGTACGTGGCGTGCCTCCGGTCGAGCACGATTGTCTTCCGCAAGGCAGGCCAAGAGCTCGAGAAGCGACCTGTCCCCGACGTGCTGCGAGCCCAGGTCACGAGCGTCTTCGCGCACGTCCTGACGGCGCCGGCGCCAACCTCGCTCCTCCTGCCCCAGGTCGTCGACGGTCTGCTGTACTGCAACGGTGCGTTCGTCGACCTTGCGAGTCACTTTTTCCGCGCGCAGTCGTTGGTCGACGCACTTGGGCTCCTCCGGGAAGCGCGCTTGCGTCCGCTTGTGCTGCTGTACAAGGTCGAGCTGCAAGCGTTCTTGGCCGATGTCGACGTGACGACAGCCGACGCCAACGTCGTGCGCCAGATCCGAAACGAGCTCCAGCTCATCACCAAGGACATGACGTAAATCAATGTGGACCACACCGAGAGACGCGACCGTACCATGCCATTGAATAGTATCTTTATTTCTTCGCCACGCTCGATTGAAGTAGACACCTTGTCTGGTGAGTGTCGATACCACCCGTCCACCCGTCCACAGTCTCCAGTGCTCTTATATGGACGATTCAAAGATAAGCTACGTTGTGGCCATCCCATTACCCGAACGGTAGCACTTTCTTCTATTCAATCAAGGAACGCCAAAGAGAGGGTTCGAGGACGTGTGTGGCTCCAACTTGTGGCTCCTCGAGAAGGTCGCGCATGTCACGCACCCATATCTTGCTTTCCCGAGGACGAAGTAAGTGGTGCCAAAGTGCAAAATCATTTCTTACAGGTATTATTGGATACGGGTTTGAATGGGGTTAAAATTAGCCGGTAATGCTGAATAGAACAATCGATTTCTACAGTATATTGTGTATCACAATGTTGACGGCCCGTCTGGAATCGACCAATCGTTGGCGCGTTCGTTGCGACGATCTCTCTCGAAGCGGCCAGTCTCGCTCATGCATCAACAGCACGACCCGTTGGCCGCGCCCGCCGCGACGTGGCAGCTGCCCGTTGCCTCGGCCCTTCTCAAGAATCTCGTCTCGGGCTCGGTCGCGGGCGCGGTCACGGATTCGCTGCTGCTGCCGTTTGACACGGTCAACCTGCGCTTCAAAGTCCAATGCACATCGCCGCCCAAGTACACGGGCATTGCGCACGCGTGGAAAACGATCTTGAAGGAAGAAGGTTTGCGCGGATTTTTTGGCGGTCTCAGCACGACCTTGCTCATGGCGCCCATCAACACTGGCATCTACTACGCAGCGTACGAAGTGGGCAAAGCCACGGTACATGCTACGACAATCGTCGCTACTGTGGCCTCACGCGTTGTACCCATAGCTCACGTCTGTCGTGCCTCCAGAGCACGAGTCGGTTGCGTACTTTGCTGCGGGCGCGTTCAGTGAGCTCTGCAGCTCCGTCACCAACGTCCCGACCGAGGTCATGAAGGCAAGGATGCAGCTGGGCCAAAACCCCAAAAACGCGACGGGCGGCTGGTCTACCCACACGTCCAACTACCGCGGCACGCTACACGCCGTGCAGTCGATCGTCCGGCACGAAGGTGCGAGAAACGCGGGTTCGCACTTTCCTGACTCTATCGTAGGCGTCGCGGGTCTCTACTCGGGCTACGCGTCCTGTCTAACCGTCGACGCGTCGTACGCCGGCTTTTGCTTCGTCTTCTACGAAGCCCTAAAAAAGCACTATCGGTACCGTCTCCAATCGGCATGGCGGTCGCGGAGAGGCGTGTCGTATGTAGGACCAGCATGGACCGTCCGCCGGGTGCGGTCGAAACCGTGGCGATCGGTGCCGTCTCGGGCGCTGGTGCTGCGATGCTCACCAACCCGCTCGACGTTGTCACCCTGCGCCTCATGACGCAAGGTAGTTAATTTTTTGCGCTTCGCTGCTGACGCGCGCATAGGCACACACAAGATTTATCGCGGCATCTTTCACTGCCTCCAGCGGTCGATTGCCGAAGAGGGCATCCGCATACTGTGGAAAGGGTCGGCGACACGCATGATGAGCACGGTGCCGAGCACTGGCATCTCGTTCGGCGTATACGAGTCCATCAAAGGCCTCCTCGGCGGCGACGTCGACTTTTCGTTTGGGGACGATTAAGCACGTAACACACTGTAATCACTATTAGTACGCTCCGTCGTGTGCCTCATTCTCGCCAACACACGTGCCTGACAGTGTTCAGTAATCACGTATCAGATAGTTCTGTGTTCCGTCAGTAGTATGAGTGCATGCGGGAACCAAGCACCAGCCATAGTATTGTCGGCAGGTTTCAATTCATGATCGGGGCCATCTCGCGCCGTGCAAGCGAATGGTTCAGGTCTGTCTCTCCGAGAGATGGGTCGCACAGCAGCTGGTGCTGGTGCAAGGGTCGCTGGGCTCGTGCTCGACGTTCGACTCAAGTCAATATTGCTGTCACTTCATGGTAGTTGGGACTCGTATTAAATAAGGGTACATCAGTAGTAGAATAAGATAAGGCGTCCGTCGTCGTCGTACTGGCGAGCGTACGAGGTGGTGGGTGGTGGTGAAACACAGCGTATGAGGGGCCGTGCATCTTCATTTAAGTCAAAGCGCTCAGAGCACGCGCTGCTGCTCGAGCGAGCTGCTTCGAGCGGTCGCAAAGCAGAGCTTGCGCATCGAGGTATTCGAGATCGACGGCAGCGTTGTCTGCGGGAGCGTCAAGTCGACGGCGCACTGGCGCATGAGCGTCGGGCCCATGTGCATGGGCGGCGGCGGCCCCAGCTCAAAGTCGCAGTCGTCGTCGTCGGCGAGGACCTGCTCGGCGTGGACTGCGCTCCAAACGCAGGCGCGCTCGGCCAGGACGGTGCTGCTGAAGTATGTGCAGACGGCGGCCATGGTAATCTGCTTTCAATTGGGCTGCGAAATGGGATAATGGTCGCAGCGTCAACAAACCGCCGCTGTGAAATAGACCACCGGTACCAACATTCCCTCACCATAGAAACTTCAAGTGGCTCGGTGATGTTCCTCTCACATATAATATCTCGCGGCCGCGAAATTTCAAAACCTCTTTTAATTGATATATTCGGGCCAGTGTAATCGAGCCGACATTCCCAACCGACCCAAGAGTGATGGTTTTATCTTGGGTTTCATGAGTGGATGTCCACGAGCCCATTCGCGAAACAGAGTCTGTGGACACGGCTCTGTGCACAGATATAGGTTTCGCACACCCTGTGTCATGATGCATACTGTGCTTTTTGCTCTCTGTGCCACGCATCCATCCACTTGGTCAACCAAATACATAGGCCCTCGAGAATCCTTGGCCGCGACACGGACGAGCAGGTGACGCCCTTCTCGCAGAACGTTGTGGCGACGAAAAATCTATCTCAAGGGGTCCGTTCGAGTCATCTCGTCTTCGAGAAGATGCTGATATACAACATCGCGTCAATTTTAGAGTTGTAAGGACCATCCACCACAAAAGACAAAAGATTGATTATGGTGCTGCTCAACACCAAGAGCACCCACCATCCCAAACGTCGAAGCCCTACATACCGGGTACTCGTACCCTAATCGCTGGGCTATAGAGTACGCTGCCAGGAGCGAGAGGGAGAGAGTGCGCAATCGCTTTTCGTTGCGCTGTTGGCAACGTCGTTGGGACGATTGAAGATCGTTGGGGTCGGCATTCATTGGTCGACCCCATGATCGGCTCCCGCGCAACTCCGCGCCTCTGCAGAACATCACTCAACGACACCCTTGCATTTCATTGGCCAAAATCCGCTGTTTATTCTTTTGTCGCGCTTTTCTACAATTCATCTTGTGAATTGTATGCCATCGGCAAAAATGCGACGCTGCACCGAATCGCGCCTTCGTGGAACGTCACCACCTGTAAATAGTGTATTTCATTTGGTTTGTTAATAGTGTACATTTTTCTACGAGAGAACACTACGTACATCATCACCAGGGACTCGCATGCTTGCGCTTCTTCAGCCAGGCCAACTACATAATATATACTGGTATGCGTAAAGGTCGGTGGTTTCCATAGGTGGTCTCTAGCCTGGCAACAGAATAGCCGATTGCAATTCGAGTTTCTACTAATAGTCGAACATTATTTCCGTCATACTGGCGCATAGATCCAACACCACACGATTCAGGGAAGCGTGAGTCAAGCGTCAGAACTCAGCTCGGTCATCCGCTATTTCCGGATACGCACCATGGTGGCATGGCGCCTGGCCCACCGTCTCGCGGTGGCGCGAGCAACGCTGCAGCGCGGCTACAGCCGTCGGGCGATGGCACTACCAGCACTACAATCGTATGGCGAGCATGTGCAATCGAGCGCTTCCTTCGCAGCGGCAGCGGCGGCGGCCATGGCCATGGGCACATGGATGGGTATAGAGCGGTAAGCGCGTGCTGCGCTCAGGCCATCGCGTAGGTTCGCGGGACGAGTGGGCAAGCATGAAAGCGGCGCCGCCCTTGACGCGCAACTTCATCGCAGACGCTGTCGAGAAGGCTGCGCCCGCTGTTGTCAATATCACGATTGACTATGGACATTTGCAGGGCAGCAGCTCCGGCTCGGGCTTTATTCTCGAGCGCAGCGGCCTCATCGTCACGAACGCCCACGTCGTGGCGCATGCAGGTCCCCACGCGAGTATCAAGGTACTACGACAGCGCGGCATGCATAGATGGCGACAGTCACCGAGGCTGCATAGGTGACGCTCGCCAACGGCGCTAGCTACTCGGCCCGTGTACATAGCATGGACGCACTCACAGACTTGGCCTTGGTGCAACTCGACAATGGTGCGTGCGCCGAAACGTGACGTCTGAGACGACGGCAAAGTAGGTTCCTCGTTGTCGCTACCCACCATGCAGATTGGTTCGTCGGGCTCGTTGCGCGCTGGCGAGTGGGTCGTCGCTCTCGGAAGCCCGTTGACCTTGCAAAACAGCGTGAGTGCTGGTATCGTGAGCGCGGTCGCTCGCCACGGCTCAGAGATCGGGTACGCTCGTGTGCCTTGGGTTATAGACAGACTCACTGTGCGCAGGCTTTCGAATCGGCGCAACCACACCGAGTACATTCAGACCGATGCCGCCATCAACTCTGGCAACTCGGGCGGACCGCTCGTCAATCTCGACGGCGAAGTCATTGGGATCAACGCAATGAAAGTCGCCGGCGGTACGCGTCTCACGTTGGGGCCGTGCGTGATTGCGTCGTAGATGTCAGCAACATTTCATTTGCCATTCCGATCGACACAGCCATGGACGTCATCACGCAGCTCCGCAAGCAAAAGATCGTGACGCGCCCGTACGTGGGTATGCAAATGGTCCAGTTCAGCCCGGGCGTGCTCCCTGAAATCTCCAAGTTGGCGCTCGATCGCCATCAGCAGTGTGGCTCATGCCTTCTGTAGACTCTACTCGGATCTCAAGAGCGGCGTCGTTGTCAAGTCGGTGACACCAGGGTCCCCGGCTGCGATCGGCGGCCTCCAGCCAGGTACGTTACCGCGACGAGACGCTTGGATGCATAAGATGCGGGGCTAGGAGACGTCATTGTCGAGTTTGCTGGCACACGCGTCGAGACCATCAAGGACGTGACGACCGCCCTCGGTTACAACGTGGGTCAAAAGATGTGCATGAAAGTTCGCCGCGACGGCAACACGGAGCCGCGCATCTTTTGCTTTGTGACTCAAGATGCAAGCCACCGACGCGCGCCAACGCCATCGCTGTGGTAATAAACACACCTCTAGAAAGCCAATTTGGCATTTAAAGCATTTCCCCGTTCGCGGTTGACTTGGGTCGTTACCATGAACCATAACACATACTGCTAGCACACTCGTGGGTGATGTAGTACATACTATTGCATTGCACTCGGTCCTTGGACTGCTTCGAACGCTCGATTTTGGAAGCACGGCGTCCAGTGCCTAGCAAAGTTCCCCCGCGACTGTCGCGACGTGAAAGATCACAGCGCGCCAGCTGTGTTGCCCGAAGCACGTTCGCGCATGCCGACGCTGTCGTCCAGTGTCGCAGCGAGCCTCATGCAAGACGCCTCGATAAACGCAGTGCTGGAGCGAGTGCCAGAGCTCTGTGCCAGACGCTTGAGACTATTTTACTAATCAATCGAAAAAGGCCTCGGACGATACTGTGTTCGACCACCCACCATCACACAACCTCACGAGCTCATACACATGCCACTAGACTTGCCAAGGGCAGAGACAAGGTCTGCGTGAAATGGAGAATGTACACGGCAGAACCGGCTTTGGCACGTCGCACGTAGCCGGCGATGAACATCTCCGATGGACTTCCACCGCGATCGTCGCTTGGTCGGGTCGGTGTCCACGCTGCGTTAAAGGGCGCACCACGTGCAATGTTGTGAGTCATGTTTCGACACGCTTCCACAGCCATAGTAAACGTGCTACTTGCTCGTTGGTCACTCGTAAAACGGCACCTACACTGGCCCTCTCCGCCATGCATGCGAGTTTGCGTTTTTGGAGTGACGTCACATGTTGTTACAGGCGTGGGATGCGGTGCAACGCACTGAACCGCCGTAGGAAACACATGTTGAACGTAGGGCTGCGGTGGCTCGGCCCCATTTGGTTTCCGAAGACACAAGATACTACATTAATACTATAATACTTGTTCAAGTTGGTGTAGAGTGGCTGCATGCAATGCCCGTCGTACGATGATCGACGTGTGGTTTCGGCGATTTCGTAGGGCCGCATTACGGAACGAAGGCGCAAGGCCGCGCTGATACGACGTAAGTAGCTTGCGCTTGAGACCAGCATTGCACTGGCGATGCGGGAGGATGTCTGCGGTTTGCAGTAACGAGCTCTTCGAACGTTGCATCTTGCGTGCCACCCGACGATACCCTTGCGATGGGCTCGCCACTCGTGCACGGCAAAAGAATCTTGGTCGCAAGCCGTGTCGGCAACTAGACGTGCTATCCCATTCTACGACTAGAGCTGTTACTACAACTGGAGATCTTACAGCATTGAATCCGAATGTGTTGGTCCGAGTATCTCAAATAGAATCGACGCGCAATCATGTAGTCCTGGGCGAACAACCGAGGATTTGTACCCTACTAGCTTTCGATATGGATGCAGCCAAATACTGCAAACCTCCAAGATCAGACCCATGAGAGCCATGAGCTGATCCATGCGACGGTCGCATGCGCTCGGTGCCGACACTACAGCCAGCAATTCCACAAAGCGGAGATGATCGTCGTTTCGTCAACACTCTTGAGCAAAGTGCCTCACACTCAACATAATACACGTGCGAAATGCAACACTGTACGAAGTACTCCGTTTTGTACCATGGTAATATGGTGCGCTTTTTGTCGATCGAGGGCTCACGCAGCTCAACTGCGTTGGGAATCCTGTGAACGGCTGGGTGGTCGGGCTGTGGTACGACGCAATGAGATAGTGTCCGATGGGTGCCAAAAAGACGTTGCTCTAGAGCGTTCGCAGTGGTCTCACCCAAAGGCCCCCACTACAGTACCTGAACTAGTACACCGGTATGTGCAACTGCTGGCGAATCGACAATGGACAGGACCATGGTGGCAATGCTCATTGGAGTCATCTTTACTTGCTTTGGCTCATTACAAGTCATCTCGGTTGCTTTGATGGAAGGCTTACCACTCGTTACGACAGTGCCTGAAAAACAGGTTTGGCACTCCAGGTACACGGTACTGCTTTCTCTTTCTTCGGGGTATCCATGGTATTGACCTTAATTCTTGGCGCGACGGTCTCTCATTGGCTTGAATTCCTCCCACACCCCGTTGCTCACTGCAGTGTACTTCAGATGTCGTCCGATGTGTCCCAAGGCGGCAGCGCCCTTTCTATCGACTGCTGTATGCACTGGAGCCTATTCACGATCCACGGTGTCGCTCCCACACATCTGTTTCATGATCATGCCCGTGGACCAGATGGTTGTTCACAGTAGGACTATGATTTTCCGACTTTGCACTTGATGTTTGTATGGCACCGCCGTGCATGATTACTCCAATACACGTCCCAGAGGTCTCGACTACTGGATCTGCCAATCGGTTCGAGCGCTCGTGATCGTGTCGTATCGGTGTGGTCACATCTCAATTGCGCTCGCCCAGCACAGAACGCACCATCGTCATGCACGCTCTGGACTACTACTCCGAGGTGCCGTACCAACCGTACGGCTACATGAACTACTGCCCGCCGCGCATCAATTACGAGCACAAGTGCAAATATGCCTTCAAGAGCTGCCCCAACACGCGTTCGGCCAAGAAGAACGGCGAGATGCACAAACTCTGTGAGTACCACCGCCGAAAAGCCAACAACGTGCAAAAGTTCTACGCGCGCCGCAAACGCCACGCCAAGAGCTTAGAGCAGGGCAAGAGCCAGCCGCAGACCCCCGCCTCGGACTCGGACTCGGGCGACGACGTCAAGTCCCCGTGGGCCAACATGACGCTGGAGCCACTGCCCTTTTACGCAACGAACTGCTCCAAGGCAGACCCACTGGCGTACGAGGACTGCCTCATGCTGATAAAGATTCTGACGTAGAGAACTTGGCGGTTATCTAAGAATCCGTGTACAATACTAGTAATAGAGAGTTAGGCCTTTGTTCTATTTTATCGTGCGAACATGCTGGCAATACCCTGTCCATTGAAGTACCGGTATCTTTGGACGATTGCGATTGCCAGTATCCCTCCAAGTGGCAAATGAAATAGCAGACGAGTTGCGATCTCCGGTCACAACCACCGACGCGGACGCTGGCATCCCCAAGACTGTGTAGATTTACTTACTCAAGATCAAGACGCTTGCAGGAACATCGCGGGCGCGTCTTCATGGATCTCACAAGTGCCCCCCAGGCGACTACACTGAGAGCCCTCCACTCCCACATGCACGATTCGGCGAGCAAAGGGAGATCCTAGTTGGAGCCTCTTGGCGACGATCTCATCAGGCACAGCCTATCTTTCTATCCGCGGCGCAGGCTTTCACAGTTCCACTTCTCAAAACTTCTCAATACCTCTCGATCTGCCTTCGTGGCGTAATGCAATACAACTGCTTGTTTCCCGGGAGATGGCTGTCTCCTCGTTGTGTTGTCTACGTTGCACCGCGGAAGCCACCACAAACCCCACCCTGCATGAAAAGGCACGAGGTTAACCCTAACGTTAATAATACTCGTGCAAATCCAGTACAACAGTGTACGCTGAAAACTTGAGAACCTCAACACATTTCAGAGTTTAAACGACTTTAGACACGCGTTCTTTAATTTCCCTCTAATGTTAAAGCACCAGAGTAAAATGAAGGAGTGTTTGTTTAACTTAAATGTGCTTCACCGATACGGGTACCGGTATGAGGATGCTGTCGGATCCGCTAGAACAATCTGCGTGGTCCTAGCGATGGTACATGAGTGGCACTTCGCTTACTGCCGTTCCCAGGAGTGACAGGTTTCGAGCTCCCTTACACTAATAGATTCTATTTGTTCGCTTCGATTCCTGGACTCGCCTTTCGACGAGCTCGGACAAAGTGGCCCCATTCGAGTTCGTGCGACATAACTTGATTCCTGTCCCGCCACGGCACGCGCCATCAGCTTAAGAATGATTGAACCGTTCCGAGATTGCTGCTGCTCTTACTGTAAGTCTTGTCTAGTACCGGTACGCTCTTCCTGTAGGAACGTCGCAGCCATGCTGGCTTGGTCAAAAGGCTCTGCTGATGGCTTATATACGACGCCCCAGACTTGCCACGACCAGCCCCACAGTAGTATGGCTGGACTGTCCATGCGTTGAAACACACAACCAACTATTATATCGAGGGATGGTGTCGATGAATAGTACCGGTAGGCATCAGTGAGAAAACACGCAGAGAAGGCCACGTGTCCTGTGGGATCCCGCTCGAAGATGAGACGAGGTCTTCGCGGCTGCAAGGGGTAGGTTTCCGTACTTCAATTACACTAGAAACATCTTGACAGATACCAATCAATCCTATGTGCCAATCAATTCGCGCGAAATTGATCCAGTGTGAAACGGTCGACTCGAGTCTAACTCGGCTGAATATCTTTGGTCCGGTGTGCTCTTGATCGAGGTCGAGGGCATCGCAAAGGGGTCCACGGATCCAGGAATTGGCATCGTCTTTCTTGCTAACGCCATCTCGATAGGATAATGAGCTCGACGACTGAAACACCAGGCTGCAACCAGTGGGCTGCAACACTGCAAGTGCCACGTCGATTTCAACCCTGATTGAGCATCATACATACATGTCTACAGAAGGTGTTTGCATGAACCAACTATAAACTGCGCTCTTCGTATAAAAGCGCGGTCGCGTTGAATACAGTGTCGATCACATACGTTGCTATTACGCCAGCCTCTTATAATAACCACCAGAGACGCTTGCGAGGCACGTGCGCACAAACAGGTTTTACATCGTCTACACCTGCGACGATTCGTCTACTCCGACCGGTCACATATGAACGCAACGGATCGACTTGCTTGATCTTGCCACGAACGAGCGACTTAGAGCCGGAAATGGCGCCATTGCGCTTTGATAGGCGCCTCGTGTTACGCGATCCGTGAATAGTTGATCCCATGTCATCACAGCCATGCCAGTAGCTCGTACCGGTACACGAATATGGCGCACCTGGATGCTCGCGACACCCTCCGCAGCGCCAAAGATACGCTTGAAGACATCATATCCAAACGCGTTGCTTCGATGGCTGCGATCGGTTGATGGGGTGCGTGCTACAGTACACGCTGCGCAGTTGCAGCCAAGGTGGTACCCTGACATCGATTGTTGCGGCACCTTTTGGCCGTTGTGGGGTGGGTGGGTGTTGTTGCAGTGGTTGCGTTGATCTGGTCGCGACACGCCGCAGTCGATGCCCTGTCGGTGCAGATCGACGTCAGTGTCCTTGATTGCTCTCTACACCGTTTGCAGTGCCAAGCGCGTGGCCAGCGTTGCTCTGAAAGGTTATAAAATGAGTCACTTTCGGGCCCGCGTACAGTGTATGTCAACGACGACGTCTGGGTTCTCGGAACACCGATTCTTTTGTTGGTGGCTAAACTTCAGGAAGCGCTGCCACGTCAACAGAAAGCACGTAACATTGGCACCGAACCTTGTATCCGCGGCTGCAACCACAAGTCGACGCGACGGTCTTGATCACGATGCTGCACGGTCCACACTGTCTCGGCTATGTCCAGGCAACGAACAACTCGGCTCACCAGGTCTACGTACACAGGGTTGGGACACGTTGCGACGCAGACATTCGACAGTATGGCCTCCCCACCCCGCGATCCATAACACACGAGCTTGGCCCACACAGCTGGTAGGCGTCGACGGCGGTCGTATGGTCCAAAGTAGCCCCCTCGTCGTCAACACCCACTGTTGTAACTGCACTCGTAGGCTGCGCATGGCAAGAGGTTCAGAGCCCAGTGTCGCAGCATGCCGCGTGGCCGTCAGGACAGTGTCAGGACAGCATTACGCCGTCGCCCCCCAAGACATGTTCTGGCGTACGATCGATTCAACATCTCATCACGCGACTCGTTAAACGCGCTAAACACAAACCGACGCCTCAAGGCGTATAAGGTCGACCCTGTTACGCTCGTGGACGTGAGTAATTGGACTAAATCTGTAGCACCAAACCAGAAACCAGGTTGGACAAGTTGCATTTCCCATTTCGCCGTGTGCTTCCACCATGCTCATGGAGTCACAAGCCGCCATGTACTACCCGAGCAGCCAATACTACTACTACAATGCGACGGCGCCACCGCCGCACAAGTCACCGTACGAGCTCAAATGCAAGTACGCGTTCAAAAATTGCACCAACGTACGCAGTCAGAAGCGCACGGGCGGCCTCCACACGCTCTGCGAATTCCACCGCCAAAAAGCCAACGAAATTCAAAAGGCGTACGCACAAAAGAAGCGACTCAACCCGAAACCGCCGTCGCCGTCGCAGACGACGGGCGTCGAGCCCATCCCGTTCAGCGAGCGCACCAACGACGATGCAACGCTCGCGTTTGAAGACTGCTTGGACCTGATACGCCTCCTCCGATAGCCGTTTAGAGTGGAGTGGCTACCTTATATAATTCTACAACAATTCCTTGTCCGTGTCGCTGTCCGTCGTGCTTGCCTTGCCCGCAACGCTCAAGCCCGACGTCGAAGGGTTAAGAAGGGTCGGGCGTCGGATAGAACCCGGTCCCACGACACCGTCTTCCTCTGTCGTCTCGATGCACACGAGTACCATGGCTCTAGGCAATTAACTATGGCTATCTATTCCCAAGGGTACTACAATGCCCTTGCTGCAACCAAGCCTCAATGTTGATTTTTACGGTATGTTTACGGCAAGTGCTTTATTCCCTTGGTTTACGGCGTCGCCTTTTGCATGGCGGCCGTTAGCTGCAAGCGCAGCGCACGCGGCGCCACGTCCAAGCACGACTGCTTCTCGTTGTTCAGCGCGTTGGGCTTGGCGCCATACTCGAGGAGCAGGCGCGCCATCGCCTCGTGGCCTTCCATAATCGCAATGTGCAGAGGCGTGTTGCCTACACAAAGCGAGGATGTTGCTAAATTGTTGAAACCATATTTAATAAATGTGGCACCGTGGATGTCCTTGGTGTTGAGCTTGGCGTTGTGGTCGAGGAATTGCACGACGATGTCTACACGCCGTTAACACATAGGATTTTATATTTCGACGCGTAGTACCTGGAGCTGGCCGACCACCCAGGGCGCGCATCAGCGGCGTCGAGCCAGACCGGTCCTGTAGCCAGCAAGAGCGAGATCACATCGCATGCACGGCAGGATGGCGTACCGCCGTGTTGATGTCGCTCGTGACGTCCAGAAGTAACTCTGCCATTTCCGGGCGACCTGGTCGACAGTCCAACAGCGAACGGTGATTGCACACGGTGTACCTTTGTGGTAATGCAGCGGAATTTGGCCATTCTCGTTGGCAAGGTTCGGATTCGCGCCCCTGACCACATGTGTCAACCCCGAACGATCCCGGTCCTTGCGTACTTGGAGAGCAGGAAGCTCACCATCTCGACGTGGCCCGCGGACGCAGCGCTCATCAAGGGCGTCCAGCCCGAGTCGTCCTGGTGATTGATCTTGGATAGACCCACCAAGAGGTCGGCCACGTCCATGTGGCCGCACGCGGCCGCCCAATGGAGCGCCGTCCGCTCGTCTTCATCAATCGCATTGGCGTCATAGCCCAACGCAAGAAGCTTCTGCACCTCCTAGCCTGGCCATGGGCCATCCATGCAGCTTGACGGTGAGGAGGATGACGTACCTCGAGGTCGCCGGCGCGGGCTGCGTTCACGAGCGATGCCATGGTTGCTGTTTTCCGGATACTGATCGTCATCCGGATGTCGGGGAGCTCGGATATTTTGTCCGGATCCAGCACCTCCTGGTTGCGATTCCGGCATGTCACGACGTTGCCGATGCACGAGCCTCACTGCACGAGCCTTGTGCAATAGGATGCTCGTCCTATACAGGAGTGTACCAATATACTCCATAGTATATGTATTTGCAAGGTCGGACTTTTACCGGTACCCGTTTTTGGCTTCCTCGATTTGCGACTACAGTCGCGTCTCTATACACCATAGCGCGTGCAAGCAGAAGATCAAGACGATGATACATGGGCGCGTAGCGTGATGGAGCACCGAGCGACCTGGACCTTTCTAGCTATGTGCGTGAGACTTGTGATGATGAGACTTGGGTGCTGCTTCGCACCGTGCTTGTCCGTTGCCGATCGGCAAAGATTCCGTTGTCCACCGGTGCCACGAGGAAGAATGTACCCAAGAGGCGCTGCGCCAGTCTCGTAATCGGTGATTCGCATCGGTGGCTTGAGCAGACGCTAGCTTGTTCGAGAGCGTGCAGCTTCAAGCCGTGCACCGGGGCACGTATCTGAATCCAGCAGCCAATCCGCGGCGTTGAATGGGACCAGATTTTCGACCAATGGGAGCGCTTCTGCGAGGGGCATCTTTCCTCGGTCGTCTTGCCAGAGAGTTGCTCGACTGCTAAGACGGACCAAGGATGGCGAAGGCAGTGATCTCGTCGGTAGGACCTCCATGAGGACATGGGATCATCGCCTCATGCGGATGCTGCCGAGGTAGATCCTGCAGTCCCAACTCGGCAAGTACGTCGATGGGCTCGCGCCCGAGTCCCTCCAAGTCGGGCTCTGGAGCGGCGAGCTCCTCTTGACGAACCTCAAGCTCAAGCCGCTCGCGCTCGCGGAGCTCAACCTCCCGATCAAGGTGCTTCAGGGGACGATTGCCAAGGTCCACGTCGTCGTGCCATGGAACCAGCTCGGGTCGGCCAGCGTCCAGATCACGCTTGAGGGCATCTACGGCGTCGCGATCCCCAACACCGAGGTACATTGTGCAATCCATCGAGATCCTCCCTCTTTTCCAAGCCCATGGCTCATGTACATGTAGCTTCCGTCGCCGGAAGAAGTCTTGCTTGGCATTCGGAACCGCCTCGAGCGCGGAGAGCTCATGCGGCAACACCAGCTGCAAACGAGTAGCAGCAATACGTCGTCCGACACCAAGGAGGACGAGAGCACGTTCCTAACGCGTCTCACAACCCGGATCATTGACAACCTCCAGATTACGATCAAGGATCTCCATATTCGGTACGAGGATACCGTGTCCAACCCGTCGCTGCCGTTCACGTGCGGCCTCTTTCTCGAGCGCTTCTCGCTCGAGACAACCGACGCGAACGGGCGCAAGATCTTTGTCGACAATACAGCTACGGGCGAGAAGAAAGGCTTGACGCACAAGGTCGCGCAGGTGAAGAACTTCGCGCTCTACTGGGACCGGTTCGACCCCGCCGACTCGATGACGCGCCAGTCGGCCGCGTTCGAAGCCGCCATGCGCCGGGTCATCTACGCGACGACTGCCTTTGCCGAGACCGACCGCCACTGGCTGCTCGTACCGCCCTGCACTGTGCGCGTGCGTCTCACGAAGAACGAGAGCCGCGTGTACTCGCAGACGTCGCCCAAGTTTGCCGTACACGCCGAGGCAATTGGTGTTTCGTTTGGACTGAGCCGAGAGCAGTACGACGACATGCTGTTTATGCACAAGGCGTTTCTGAGCCGGCGCGCCGTCGAGGCGCACTTTTGGGAGCACCGCCACCGCCCGTTCTTGCCGTTGCGCCAGTACCCGGTCGTGTGGTGGGACTATGCGACACGCTTCATCATTGCCACGTCGACTGGAAAAGCCGCCTCGCGCTTCCGCTGGTCGGTTGTCAAAAAGATGGCCCGCGACCGCAAAATGTACATTGCACTCTACAAGCAGCAGCATTTGGCCAAGACACCCGTGCTCTCGCCCGACCAAACGTCGTATGTGCAAAGCATGGAGGACGCTTTTCCCATGGAGCTTGTGCTTCGTCTCCGTGAAGTCGCCGAGGCCCAGTTTGCCGCCCAAAAGAAGGCGGCACCGGCCGCCGCCGCATCGTCGTCGTCGTCGTGGTACGGCTATTTTTTCGGGGACGCAAGCGCGTCGACGGCAAGCACCAACGACGTGCTCACCGACGCGGGCAAAGCCGACCTCATGCGCGCGTATGAAGAGACCGTGGCGCTGGACGAAGCCGCGCTGCCTGTCGACTGCTTTCTCCTCACGGTCGAAATCGCGCTGCGCGACGGCCGCGTAGAGCTCTACGGCTACAACAATACACCGCTACTCTCGTCGGCTCTCACAGGCTCGATTGGCGTACAAGTCCAGCCCGACCAGTCGTGGGCATCGCAGGTGCAGCTCGATCGCCTCGAGATTGCCAACCACCGCGTCGATGCCGCGTGTGCAAGTCGGGCGTTCTGCACGCTCCGCCAAGGCAGCAGCGATGTGCCGTTTGCACTGCGTGTCGCCATGCCGACGCCGACGACGCTTCATGTGCGGCTGAGCGCCGAACCGCTCCAATTTGTGCTGGACCCTGTCTTCCTCTTGCTTTTGTACGATTTTTTCTGTGGCTCGGTCGCGCAGCGTCAGCTCGACGATGTCTGGGCGTTTGCAACGAGCTCAGTGCAAGCGTATGTATTTGCCGAGCAAGAAGAGGCCGATATGCTCGCGGCTCTCTCGGCGGCCGAGACGATGAAGTACGACGTCATTGTGGACATGAAGGCACCCGTGCTGCTGCTCCCAGAAGACGCAACCAGCGACGCGTCGGCCGTCGTCGTGCTCGACTTTGGTCGACTCAAGCTCACGGATGTCGCACCGTCGTCGTGCCACGTGCACACGTGGCAGGTCGAGCTCAACGAGATGCAAGTCCTCTTACACGGTGAGAGCGGATTTGCGCCAAACGACCCCGGCGTTGCTTTGGTGCCGCGCTTCAACATGGCGTGCCGGGTCGATAGCATGGTCCGCGAAATGGACGGCAAGCCACTCCTGTCGATGCACGCCTCGTTGCCAGCGATCAATGTGGCCATGTCGGAAGAGTCGCTCGCGCAGCTCGGACGCATGCACGCGGCAATCTACCTGCAGTGCCAAGCCACGATGGCACAAACCCGTCTGCCTAATGTCGAAGACACCAGCAGCGCAGATGCTCTCGTGGCTGCCCCCGTGCCGCGCAAAGCGAGCAGCGACAGCCATGCGATTGCGCTCACGTGGGACATTGACGCGATTGATATCGCGCTCGCCGACTCGTTCCGTGTGCTGCTCTCGGGCACGTCGTTTGGTTACGACCTCTACGGATCGAAGTCGTCGGCCGTCGCCAAGCTGCGGGCGCTCTCGGTTGAAGACAAGGCCCACGCGCCGTCGTCACCGTACTATTATCTGGCCAAGACGCCAGATACGTCGTCGCATCTGATCCAAGTGTTACTTCTCTCGAGCCAGAGCCCGGAGCGTGCTGCGGACACGATCATCACTGCAGACTTTCAAGTGCTCGACCTGCAGTGGAACCCGTCGTCGATCGTCGTGCTCAACTCGCTCGTCACCACGTATACGGCAAGCCTTGTTGTGATTACGCCGCCGCTGCCGCACACGACTAGTCTCAGCGCGTCGACAATGTGTGCATCGATGGCACGGTCGCGGATCCCGTCGCTGCTTGTGACGGCGACCCTCGAGCAGTTTAGCGTGTCGCTCAACAAGGACTCGAGTGACCGGCGACTCGTGACGCTCTCGATGACGAACGCATCGCTGCACATGACGACGCAGAGTGACGCGTCGTACACGATCGACGGCACGCTCGGGAACTTTCTCGTTCATGACCACAGCGTGCACAAGCATGCGATGTACAACCCGTTTGTGGGCCTCGATCCGGCTGCGACGACGACGCAGCTTCTCTCGTTTGCATATGTCGTGCCGCCGGCCCCCGCGCTGCCGACCCTCGACGCGTGCCTCGACCATGTCCGCATCGTGTACGTCCACCAACAAGTGCTGGAGCTAGTGGACTACCTCTTCCAAGGCGTCCTCGGGTCCCTCGTGAACGCGACGCTCATGAACGCGACGCAGCTATTGCTCAAGGAAGAGCCGTCGGCGCTGAAGTTGCATGTGAACCTCGTCGAGCCGCGCATTGTGATTCCGATGCATCCGATGGACGAGCAGCATTTGCTACTCGCTGCGTCGTCGCTCGAGCTCTCGCACATGCCGACGTCGACGGTCGCGTACGTGGATGGTCGAGTCGTGGTCGTCCACGACGAGGAAGGGTTGCCAGCAGATGTCAAACGTGTGGTGTTGGACCAAGTGATGCTCTTTGCAACGACGGCGTCTGCCGGCGAGTACGCGCCCGTGCTCGAGATGCCGCTGCAGCTCGATATTGCAATCAAGGACGTCGTGTCGACGACGCTTCTCATGAGCGATGGCGTCGTCCTCCCGCGCTTTACGATCGAGTGCGTCATGCCACGCCTGCACATGCGTCTCTCGAAAGCCATGTATGTCATGCTTGTACGCGTGCTCCAAGAGAACATTGGTGCGGCAACTTTGATCGATGGCGCAACAACGGCCTATGCGTCCATCTCGGACGTGTACCGTCCCGTCGTCGACTACGACTATGCACGTACCGACTTGGAGATGCTGACGATGCGGCTTTCGTTCTCGATGACGTCGTTTGCGTGTGCGCTTCAGGACACGGACTTGGTCTTGACCGCGTCCGACCTCGACGTCGGTCTCGTGCTGCTTCAAGATCAGAGCCCGCGCATTGAGGTCGGGCTCGCGACCTTTGGCGCATCCGAGAAGGCGCGCGACTGGTTGTCGTGCGACGGCCAGACGCGCATGCAGTATGCGTGGGACGACGCCAAGCGGTCGTGTAGCCTTGAGCTCGACGTATCAAATGTTTCGGGCACGGTGGTACCAAGTGCCCTCTTGACGCTGGTTCAATTTTTCCATCTGGACGCTGCGATGCTCCAGTCGAATGTGAGCAGTCCAGCGCCGACGGTCGACGCCGAGTACGAGTTCCACGTCCAGCTGCGCGCGTCTAAGGTCGGGCTGCACTTTCCGTCCGACTTGAACGATCATAGTCGTCCGCTCTTGGCGATCGAGTCGGACTTTGCAATTGCCTTCGACTCGTACCCGCCCGACCGCAACGAAGTGACGCCCATGGCCGTTGTCATTGAGGCCACGCAGTTTGAGGCGTACCTTCGCAACACCAACCGGCAAGGCTGCGCGACGTCGTTCGTGCAGCTCATGGAGCCGACAAATCTCTGCATGAAGTATCAGTTCTTCTCGCACGCGCAAGAAAAGATGGAGGTGTCGATCAGCACGGTGACGGTCTTTGTGTCGTACGAGGACACACAGCTCTTGTCGACTGTCGTTCGCGCCCTCTCAGCTGATGTTGCGATGACGTCGCACGCGTCGTCGCTGCCGTCGATGGAACTCAACTTTGTCAAGGAAACGCAGCGCCACATGACGTGGGACGTCCAGAGCATGCAACTCACGCTCATCAACGACTGCGACGGCTGCGACATGGGCCTCCTTCAGCTGCGACTGCCGACGTGCCGCCTCTTTGTGAACGCAGCGACAACGCTCGAGAGCTCGACCGTCACGGGCGGCGGGGACCTCTCGTTCGAAGCCACTTACTACAATCCGGATTCGCGCACGTGGCAGCCGCTCTGCGCCGAGTGGAAGCTCAACGCGACCGTCATGTCGACGCTGGGCCACGTCTCGAGCGACGCAAACCTCAACAGCATGCAATGGACCGTCTCAGCCGACCCGCTCAACGTTTCGGTGACGCACGGCTTGCTCGAGGCACTGGCGTCCGCGGGCGAAACGTGGACCAACGGCAAGCAAGATCGGTCGCTCCAGGCGCCGTGCACTATCGTCAATGAGTCGGGGCTCCCGCTGCGCTTTTGGTGGAGTGCCAACGAACACGACGTGCAAGTCGTGGACCACGGCAGTAGTGCCTGCGTTCATTACGTTCACGTACAAGGCAACGGTTCGGGCGTCACGCGCACGTACACGTCGCAGCAGCGCGAGCAAGGCACCGTGTGCTTGGACCTCGTCGGTCTTGGGTGCCAGCCCGTGCAAGGTCACCCTGATTGTCATACTACTCTGCTGCAACTCATGCTCCATATGTGTAGGCATTGTGGCTGAAGAGCTCGGGAGCCATGCGCACTCGCTTGTGGAGCTCTCGGGCGGACTTTCCAACTTCAAGTACGCGGCCAAGCGTGTTGTACGATGCCTTTACATATATTCTCTGGTAGGGTCACCTGTACATCGCAGCTCGTGGGTGGTCACATTGTGCTCACCATCTCGTCGCACGTGCGCATTCACAGTCATGTGTCGGAGAAGGTCCAGCTGCTGGTGTACGACCCGAGCTGGAACGCACCCATGGACATTGGCACGGTCGCACCCGGCGACAGCATTGCGCTGCCCGTCATGTACTCGCTTGGGTACCATCCTCTAGCGTGGCCTTGTGCCGGTGGCGATTCGTTTACATGTGTAGATCAGAGATTCGCTTGCGGTGTCTCGGCAACGACTGGAGCTTCTCCAGTCCGATTCCGCTCGATATGACGAGCGCAAGCCTCACGGTCTCGTGCACGCATCCAACCCAAGTCGCCTACTTTTGCGTCTCGTTTGAGCAAGGCCACGTGCACTTGTACGACCCGCTCACGCTCGACAACAAGTGCCCGCTGCCCATTGCGTTTCAAGCGCGGGACGGCAGCCGCGGCGTGGCGCGCGGTGAGACGCTTTCCGTTGGCGCGTCGGCGGGCATTTGGTGGGCAATGCACCAGCCACTGTTTGCGCTCGACGTCCCGGGTTGCGAAATCTCGTCGTGGTTGCCGCTAAAGAAGGACAACCTCAAGCCCTTCTCGCTCGTCGTGCGGCGCCGCGGTGACCGTCGGCCCATGACGATCCTTGTCGCGCTGCGCGAAAATGCCGCCAAAGCGCTTACCATCTCGCTCTACGCGGACGTGTGGCTCATCAACCGCACCGGCGTGGACCTTGCGTTCGGCAACGAAGTCGATGACGAGTGCTACCGCCCATCGTCCGAGGCCCAGAGCATCATTGACGGCGCGCCAATGACCATGTACTCGTCGGGCGAGTCGCCAGCGCTGCTGCGCGTGCGCCTCGGCAACGCCAAGTGGAGTGCGTACGTAAAGGCTGACCCGCGCCGCATGAACTGGCAGGACGAGTGCCTCAGCGTGGCGTCCAACGGCCGCCTCTACGAGCTTGGCGTCTCGGCCGACTATGCGACGCGGCACTTTGGCGTACTCACGACGATCGTGACGCTGACGCCGCGCTACCTCTTTGTGAACCGCTCGCCGTGGACCATAATCTTGCTTGAAGACGACGGCGCGCTCCCCTCCAACTTGACGCACGTCGACCACATGGTGCCGCCGGGCGACTCGTATGCGCTCTACTGGGTGCAGGGCGTGCGCCGCCGTCTGCGTGCGTCGGTCGTCGACTGCCCCGGGCAGTCGAGCTGGTCCGAGCCGTTTGGTATCAACGAACTGCGCACGATGGAACTGCTCGTGCCCAACGACGTGAGCTGCCCGATTCTGCAAGTCGTCGTCAAGCAAGGGGGACTCACGCAGTCGACGTACGTCATCGACATGGTCAACTTGGACCTCGAGCCGCTGCCCGAGACGAAGGCGCCGACGTGGGATCTCGTGACCGTCGACGTCAAGGTACATACTCGATCGTACTCCGCCATGACGCTAATGACCATCATGTTTAGGTGGCGAGTGTGACGATGACGCTCCTTGACACGTCCAAAGAAGTCGACTTGTTTACAGGTCCAGTTTTGGAAGAAGTCGCGCGGTTCAAGATTTTCAACATTCGCATGGACCTCTTCAAGGACCGCGTGAATGCCCAGGTAATACTACACTCGACGTGTAGTACGAACGGCTTGCTCATACGATGATATTGTTGCTAGAGCCACTTGCGCATCGGCTCGATGGCGTTGCAGGATCTCTTGCCGCGCACCAAGTACCCTCTTGTCGTGTCACCCTCCAAGTCGTCGTCGTCGTCATCGCGCGACTTTATCGTTCTCGCGTACAAGGACAAGGTCCATCCCAAGTATCACTATATCGAGTCGCTCGAGGTCTACGTGCAAGACGTGTCGCTCCAGACGTCCATGTCGTTTGTCAACCGCATCAACGCACTCATCACCGAGACGCTCGGTCATTTTACCTCGGCGCGGTCGCTGGACCTCGTTGCGTACTTTGACAATGACGACCTTGCATCCCTCACCGGTCGCAAGTGGTTTTTCGAGCGCCTTGCCATTCGCCCGATTCACGCCACCGTCTCGTTTGTCAAGGACGCGAGCTCGGGCGACGAAACTAACTTTTGGCTCGCCAACCTCAAGCTCAAGATCAAGGACGCGTCGCTCGTGCTGGATGGCTACACGCTCGCCAACGCGCTCGCGACGCAAGAGTCGGTGCTCGAAGCGCTCAGCCGCTTTTACGTCGGGTCGGTCAAGAGCCAAGCGCTTGGGCTTGTCGAGTCGATCCAAGTCATTCCGCTCGTCACGGGTGTTGTGACCGAGGGAGTCTCGACGCTGGTCTCGACGCTGTGGGGCAAGGCTGATAGCGCGCTCGCATCGTCGTCGTTTCGGCGTGAGTCGCTCTCCAACAGCGCGATCGTGTCCAAGCACAGCAAGGGCGTCGCGTCAGTTGCGTCGCCGGCACAGCTGCAGAACGTGCTCCACCACCTTGTGTTTGATTGGGACAGCAATCATACGGGGCTAGAAGCGCGCGCGTGCATGGCGCTCGGCCTCGTCAACAACTCGTCGCAGTCGATCGTGGTCCAAGCCACGCTGCGCGACGGTGCCGAGCTGCGCTCGCTGCCGAACGGCCGACAGCACCTCGCGCCGGGCATCGCCGAGTGGCAGCCGGACCGCGCTCTCCTCCTCTTTGCGTGGGGTTATACGCCGACGCTACTGACGACAGGCGACGTGTCGATGAACGTCCAGTCGAACGCGTTCACACTCACGCTCTCCAAGTCGTTTACGCGCCTGCAGGCCAACCCTGGCTACACGGCAACGTTTACGCTTCAAGAGTCGCAAACGTGGTGGGCCAAGCACATGGTCGTCGTCAGCGACGACCTCCCGTCGATCCAGACGACCGCAGCGTCGGCGGCGCCGGATGCGCCAAGTGCCTACGAAGTCCTCTTTGATGGCGATACGCTCGGTATTGTCGCCCGCCAAGTCGACCAAACCACGGTCGTGGTGCGCGAGTGCTGCCGCTTCTCCAACGGCCAGCCCAGTCCCGCGCTGGCGTGCGGCCTCATTACCGAGGGTGACACGATTCTGTCGGTGAACGGCCTTCCCGTGCGCACGACGAGTGGCTTCAAGGCCGCGATCGTCAACACACCGCGGCCCATCGTCGTGCGCTTTGCCCGCAAGCCCGCCGTCGTCGTCGAGGACGAGAACGCGTTCAACCTCTTTGGCTAAGTTCTGATATACCAGTACAAAGTGTTCAAATCCACTGTACATACCAACCCACACGTCTATGGAAATAACATTTAGTAACGTTCGTTCGTATATCACTCACTCTCCTCCTCGGCGGTCGTCTAGGACGGTGCGAGGAGTTTCTTGGCGCCGTTGGAGAGACTACGTTGCTGTTGGTTCTTGGGCGGCGACGTCTTGGACGCGCGGAGCTTGAGCGCGAGCGTAAACTCTTTAAAGGTGACACCGTCGTCGTCGAGCGACGCCATCCAGCGACCGAGGTCGGCCACGTCGTCGTCCGAGACGTCAAAGTTGATTTGGTGCAGACCGTCGAGGAGCTCGTCGAGCGAGATGCGCTTGTTCTGGTTGAGGTCCATGGCCGCAAAGACGTCGATCGCGCGGAGGCCGTTGGCGTGGATGTACTTGTCGAGGCGGCGAAACCAACTCGGCGGGAGCGGACCCAGCGTGTCCAATGGCGCGATCGTGGCTTGCGGCGGCCGATAGAGCGACACGGCCTTCTCGTCCGACTCGTTGGGCTGCATCTACAGGCCGTGTCATCAGCTTCGTCCATGGCATCCAAGCGCCGCTGTCCTACCGTCGGCCCGGGGCGCAGCAGCATGCGACTTGGCCCATAAGATACCGGTCCAAAAATCGAAAGTGCGAAGTGGAAACTGCCATGGGTCTCCTCGCCAAGCTCGTGCTGCCGGAAAGTAGCGGGCCCAAGGCGGCCAAGCCGACGCCCATCGTCCAGCTGCCGCTGAGCGCGTGCCTCAAGTGGCTCAACCCGCGTCGGGCCGCACTCGGGCTGCCCATTTACGCCGACAATCCGTCCCATAGCAAAGCCAAGGTGCTGCCGATCCCACCCGTCGAGCGCGTCCGGAGCGAAATCATCGATGCGGTGCAAAACCGCACCTTTGAACAGTGAGCCACTCGCACCGTCTGGCCAAAGTTTGTGACGGACCGTATTGCTTGTAGGACAGTCGTGGACGACCCCGTCGTCGCGGGAGCGGGCGGGCGCCTCTACTCGGCAACGATTGCCATCACCCTGCGCAAGCTTGGCCAACACAATGCGATTCCGTACTCGGATATCTGGACAGCGAGCTACCACGGACGCCAATCCGAAGTATCATCACCTTTCTAGCGTTTGCGATGTGAGGTTTGACTGTTGAGATACTAGGTCGAGCACTACATTGGGACGTGTGGCATCGATCCCAACCTTGCCCAGTTTGGGTACCCGTACCAGACGCCATTGCACTGTGCCGTGAGCGGCGGTGCCACGGCAACCGTACGACGACCAACTTCAAGCGCACGAAGGACCATCTGCTGTGTTGCTCACGCATGATTCCGCGTAGGCTCAGTATCTCGTGGCCAAAGGTGCGTCGCCCGCCAAGATGGATGTCAACGACAACAGTACGCTACGTGATTCTAAAGCAACGTTCGAATGCTGCAAACGATGTAGCGCCAATACATTTGGCCGCGCGCTGGGGCAGACTGGACCTTCTCGAGTTCTTCTTGCATGGCCCATCGCTACCGATTGCGGCTTGGGTCGCGCCCAATCGCCTGGGCGATACGCCTATCGCCATGGCGTCCCGGCACGGCCATATCTCGGTAACTGCGTTTTTCCATCTCCATTTCGAACAGCGCGACCGCCAATGAGCCTCCATCCAAGGCGTTCTAGTACGCGCCGACATCAGGGTCGCAAAAAAGAACTTGAAACATCGTTCGCATACATCGTACTACGCCAGAATGCGTTTTCTCGTTGGCGTTGGTGCCAGCAGTATGTGGTCGTTGGTCATGAGCTGCGTACACAAGTTCTGCTCCATCGTGCAGTGATCCCTCTCGCTGCGTATGCCACGGAGCCGCGTCATTTAAATAACATCTCGACGTTGTATCCATATCCAAGACTACGGGGACGTGTGGCGGGGCTTCTAGTACAGGAGGCGACTCCTACGACGCAAAGAGTGCGCGCAGAACGTATTCGATCTCGTGCCACGACAGCGTCGCGTTCTCCATCGCATCGCGTGTGAACGGTAGCGGCGCATACTTGGCTTCGTCGTCGGCATTGGCGAGGCAGTCGCCGTCGCTGTGGCGCCGGCGCACCAGCACCGCATGCGAGGCCGCCGAGGACTGATCGAGAAGGTCCATGGCCTCTTTCTTCTTCATAGCATACGTCTTCTGCGTCGAGTTGGCGCGGCGTCGGTGAAACTCGCAGTACGAGTGCAGCTGGCCGTTGCGTTTCGCGGACCGCGCGTTGGGGCAGCGCTTGAACGCATACTTGCAGCGGTCCTCAAAAGACGCCGCGACACAGAGCGGCGATGGCGACGACGACGCCGACGACATGGGGGTAGCGCGCGACCAGAGTGTCATGGTATCTGTGTTTGGGTATCGTTGGCGCGATGACGATCTTGTAAATTACAAAGTGACGAGGTATTGTTGCTTGGCTCTGAATTAGAGGTGTCGCGATCACCGACGACGTTGACGCTCGGTGTCAGAGTGGGCGTAGCAGCGTTGGATACGCCCATACGTTGAAAAGCGTGGTTTGATTCCCCGTACTTTGTGCCGCCGGAAGCGCGCTTAGCTACTCGCTTCAGCCAATACGAGGCGACGACGCGTTCCGGGAAACC